AATTCTGTTAAAATTTTTTTTTTTTAAAAACCCCTTTACCCCCCCCCCCCCCGTCAGGGATGGTCTGATCAAAAATGACAATTTTTTCGATAACTCAGCCATTATACTTGACGGATCCTTCTCATCTTCGAACTCGACTGAGATATTAATGAGATCATTATGTGTACAAAATTTCATGGTAATTGGATGAGGCTTTCGAAAGTTATCGTGCCTACGGCCGGTCGGACACACTGACTGATTCTGGAGTGTACTCACTTTTTGAGTACACAAAAATATGTTATTTCAATAATCAAGACGAACTCTGACCTTTTGATAAGCTTCGGCAAACAGATTTTTCTTAAATTAAATTGATTGATTTACCATTCCAAAACGTTTAGGTATTTATTTAACAGTTGATTTCTCGATAATATCTAGAATTTATCATGACAAAAGTAAATTTCAATCAAGGCATTTCATAAAAGAAAAGAAAAATCAAACACATCGATCAGTAAAATCATCGCAGAATAATGAGTGCTTACTGTTTCTTTTTTATATTTGTAAAGATGCATGCCAATTTAGAACGGACGAATTAGCTAAAAGAGCCATTTTTGTGTAGAGATTTTTCTGTGTCACGTTCGTATTATATCCAAAATATTATTTTCGATAACATAGCATGCGATGATATTGTATTTACCAATTTGTTTTATTTCTTACATACTAAAATATATCAGAGTTTTGTCAGAACTGTAATCGATAGTTTTGAAATCTATAATCTATACAAATTTTTCTCGTGGAAGGATCGTTTAATAGATTACAAATCGATTTTGTTTTTTTCACAAATCAAGCTATATTTACTGAGTGTTAAACACTATGCTGACGAGGAAAGACGCCTAAGACTATTCTATTTAGTTGACATTGATAATAATATCCTAATCAAATTTCGTCAAGCTACTTTCATACGAAATTATATTATCAAAATGACACTGAATAATTGCTTAGCATGTAGTTATCATAAATTTCATGACATTGTGTTTTTCTTATTTATAGGATATATTTCGCATAGAAATGAGAGATAGCAAAGAGAATGTAATATACAAAATAAGGTAAAATATACAAGTAATAAAATAAGGTATGTGTACTACAAACTGTTGATGAATGCAAACAGTTGATATCCAACTTGTATCTCTATGAATGTTTCTCTTGAATAGTGGATAATAGGAGATAAAGAAAAATTCCGGAAATAATTAAAAGCAACCTCACTGTAACAAGGGTTAAATCATGAACACCGTAAACTAATTAGGATGTAGGCATTCATGCGGATCGTGAAGTTAGTTTTTACTTTTATCAGGTCAGAAAAATGAAAAGCGATTTTATGAGTTTATCGTTCTAAGCGATGGTTGATCAATTTGATTGTTGAGTTCAAAAAATATTTTCAAAAAGTGTCGTGTCACTGCAAAGCTTTTCGCTATTTGTAAGCAAAGATATAATATTTGTTCACACATCCCAAAAACAGGTATTTATAGCTACAAAGTTAATGAAAATCTAAGCAATTAAGTCTTTTTCTTTCCTAACGAGAAGACATATTATCACTACGTTAATATCGTCAGCATTTATTGAATAAATCTGTCGTTTGAAGATAAACATTGCTTGTAAAAAATACTATATTGATTATGAATTTTAGTTATTGACATTTTACTATGACCAAAATTTGATTGAACAGTATACAATTTATTTAACGACTCACTATTTCAATGCTATTAATTTAAAAATTCAGAAAATCTACGCATAGACATTTACATTCAATAGAAATAAAAGAAAATAGGAAATAAATTTAAAAAAATTGCTATAACATAACGAATAGAGATTCATACATCTTGATGAACGATTGTATTTGCACGGGAGTTTCTACCATTTTAATTTGATTTTCTATCCAATAAAAAATAGGTACGCATTAAACCTTTGCCTTTAATTTCTATTTCACCTCGTTCTTCAAATATATAGTGTTCTCGATTTTTTAATATCTTATATGTATCATCACTCAAATGAATTTGTTCTGGTAGGCCAGTAGATTCCATTCGATTAGCAACATTAACTGTATCACCAAACATACAATAACGTGGCATTTTGGATCCGATAACAGCAGCACACACAGGCCCTATAAAGCATATCAAACGAAATCACTTAAAAAACTGATAAGAAAGAAATTTTACTCAAAGAATTTTATTTTTGTATGTATATTCATAGAGATCTTAACACAGAACTACCTGGTTTATTTCTTCTTTGCATATATCTGCTATCGAGTAGCTTTTAACCCGCGTGACATCTGCAAAGTAGACATGATTTCCCGACAAGTTCTGACTTGTTGAAAGAAAAATGATAGATTGAAATGGAGTAACTAATGTTTATGTTTCTACCAGGGTCGTTTGATAATAACCAGTCGTCTATCTATGAATATGTTGATGAAATAGACTTTGAAAGAATAGCAAAAAGAAAGCCGGATATATTGAATGGTATTGATAAGAAAAATTTGATATATATACTCGATGATACAGGTCAAAATAAAAATATTTTAGAGCTTCATTCCATCATAGATGAATGAATTTAACTATAATTATAGTTCACTCGTAATGTTTCACAACAAACTCGTTATGATCGTTCTTAAATCATTATTTACAAACTCTGGTTTGTTCCTTGATTGTAATAATTCAAGCAGTACCTGTGTGGATTCCAACACGTAATTTGAGTTCAGCAAATGTACGCGGTACGCGAACTTGTTGTTTACCTCGAAGTAAAATTAAGGACATATTGACAATTTCATTAGGATGCTTTAATGAGTAAAAGAATTATATTCATTATTAGATCATGAATATTATAGAATGTAAAAATTTACTTTATCACCATTTTTTTCTGGAGCTCCAGATACAACCATATAAGCATCTCCAATTGTTTCAACTTTATAAACATCAAAATTTTCCAAAAGTGAATCGAATATAGAATAAAGTTGATTTAACATATTGCATGTTTCATTTGGTGAGCACTTACTAGTAAAGCAAATGTATAAACATAAAATAGAATAAAAACATTTGAACTTTTACCTTGCTATAGAGGTAAATCCTACAATATCTGAGAAATAGACAGTAACTGAATCATAATATTCGGCTGGTGCTTTTCTTCCATTAATTAAATCTTTTGCTACACATGGTGGCAAAATTTGATGAAGTAATTTTTCTGTTAAACATTTTTCTTTTTCTAATTCATTTGTTTTCTGTTCAAGTAAACGTGAATGACGTTTTGCACAAAAATATAATGTTAAAATACTATAACATAATATTATTGTTGTAAGAATAAATACAATTATAACTAATCCTTTCATTACACATATTTTAGGATAGCGAAAACATAAAGCATTGTTATTAGTAATAAACCCATTATGATTGATTTCATACGGAATACTATCATTTAGATAAGCAAAATCAAGGAAAATCATAAATATTAAAAGAAAAGCACTTGTAATTGTAATGAACATTGTAATAACAACATGTTTTATTTCAATGCATGGTGCAACATGAACTTTTTCGGATACAAATGATTCGTCATTGCTTGATTTTTTACTTAATGATCGCTGTCGTTTTTGCATCAATGAACTTCGCATAAGATAAAATTGACGAAATAATGGAAACGATGTCGTTGAATATTGGGAATTAATCGAAGAATTATTTGTTCCATGCCGACGAAATGATGATCGATATCGATTCAGACTAGCATTCGATATACTATTTCGTATTGTCCATTTAACATTATTACGTGTTGGTATATTTAATGCTGACGACATCAAAGGATCTATTTTATCACTTTTCAACGTTTGAGAATCTTCACTAAGAAGTGCCGAACTAATACTTTGAGAATCATCAAAACGCATCCCAAATTTCTCAATAGGACATTGATAAGCACCAAAGATGTCTAATTAACAACAACGATGCTACATGATGATAGTAATATGACTATGACAATACATCTCTCTCGTTTCATTTGTTTCTATTTTCTGTCGTTCTTTTTATCTTGTCAATAGATTGCTGCCTAATTTTGTTTCCCTCTATCTATTTACCGCTCGTTCTTTCTTTCTACAGTCACTTCTGTTTATACATATATATATATATATATATATATATATGGGTCGATAAAAGCCTATAACGTAAGCAACATCTGTCTTTACGGATTCGAAAGACGATATGGTTCTCTGCTCATTCAACAACTCAAGAATAGGTCATGTGTATTTGAAAAACATTATATATATATTTGTCTGAGTGTCAAACTATGAGCGAAAAGATTTGCATGATATCTTTATGAAAAATGCGAATATTTTTTCACTAATTTGTCTCCGCAGATTAATATCCATTTGAGACAAGAGAAAAAAAAATAAAGTCTATGTTTTTACATATTAACAGAAAATATTAGATGATATGCATGATGTGATATAACAACAGATAGGACTACTTCCGATCGATATAAGATTTGTCTGACCGAAAACGTCATTTTAGATGAAGTTCATGTATTTGACTGTACTTCAGCCGGTTTACTTTTGATGTTTCTTTTTTTATCCTTTTGCTGTCAAAAGAATAATATTATCTTATGCCATGAATCTGTATCTATGCACATTCTTTTGCAAGATGGATCATTCGATCTAACGAGAAATACTTTAGTTTGTTTTTTTCTAGACTTATTCTATAGGGAAATGTCATTATGAACGTCTTTAATGAAAACGAGAACGACTAGATTTGTTTTTATCAAAATTCATAGCGAAAACGTTTGAAATATCTTTAGCTATTCTTTGATTTGAATTATTAGCGATCATTGTGAAATGCTTTTTATTGAAAAATAGTATGTTTTGTTTTGCAAGTTCATATTTACCCATACACATATAACACACGTATACCATGAAACTGTTTAAAGTCTAAAAATTGATAACTATTATCTTTATGAAAATATTACTGCTGATAAGAACAAATAAATAAAAGCAACGGAAAGATCACGAGGTCAACAAAGAAGTGACCTAGTAGAAAACATGCAAGTTTCATTATTCATCAGATGATTTACGGTATCTCTATATTTGTTGTTAAACAGGTAATAAATATGAAAATAGTAACTTTTATATTCTATCCTTCTGTATCTCCTGATGTTTTTATTTGTCATAAGACAAGTATACATCCATTACATATAGTCTGAAAGCAGAGTAAACGAAGGTAACAATTATTCAGAAAGATTACAAAATGAATAAACATTCTAATACTTCTCCAAAAGTAATTAATCAAATTTCTTACATGATTTCAAAATCTAGGCAATTATCCTTTGCTTTTTTTTGTATTATTACAGCCAGCGGCTTTTTCAATAGCCAATTCTTATCACAATTATATCAATCAATCAATGAACAACGAAGATGATTTCGGTTGCATCAAAGTCGAGGTGAGAAGAAAATTCAGCCATGTACTATCAAATTGGCTTGAATTGCATAAGGTTCGAATTAAACGAGCGTGAATTAAATAAAATCGAAATGGAGATATGACAATCTAGATCCTTCTTCTTGTGTTTTTTTTTGATTGATTCAATATAACGTCCAACATTGCTGCTATTTCTTTTCTTGATTTCTATCTCATCTAGATCTCCGACCTCGATAATAGTTGTCCCAATCAAACAACACTCAGTTTAATGAGATGTAAAAAGCAAATTATTCATCCATTTCGTAGTTTGCTTTGTTTAGTAAGTTCAGAGAAATATTTGTCAATGTGTAAAAATATTCTCTCTTGTTAGATTGGTTGGAGACCGTTTGGTGCTGATAGTTTAAAACGTTCATCGATTTTATTACGTATTTTTAATATCATTTATCCAATTTTCATTTTGATATTATTATTGTTCAACTATACATATGAAATTATCGTATGTCAAGGTAAACTTAACGTAGTTACCGATACCAAAGTAATATTCATTTGTTTTTGTTTCTTTTTCTTTAAAAACAAAATTGTTTTCTGTTTTCAAAATAGACAACAACAACAACAACTAGTACAACCTCATTATCACCAAGTCAAAATCATACCTTATTAAATTGGAGTTCACTCATACCTCCAAAACCTTTTCACAAAATTAATGTTACTGATGCGGAGACACTTGTATGTGGTCATATATTTACTACTTATATACTACCTGATTTATTACATTTCATTGCCTTTATTATTGGCTTTATATATTTTCGTACTACGGAAGGAGAACCAATGTATTCTCTTATGGAAAAGGTAAGAATACGGATTACATATTGAAATTCATCATATATGTATTTGCTTTATTCCTCTAAATGCATAGGTATTTATTCATGCCGATCAAAATATGCGACAATTTAGCCCTAATCGAGTAATTCGAAGATTGAAGTAAACCATTTTGATAATTCTATTAACATTCATTTGTTTGTTATGGTTTTGTTTCTGCCAATAGAATATTCTTGTTAATTGGCATTGTCTGGGTTCTCGCGTCAGTTGCTACTCATGCATTGTCTAATGCGATGAATGATTTTACTCATCCATTAATATTTGATACACAAAATAACTTGAAAGGGTACTAAATGCTGTTTTTCTTTCTATTGACAAATTTTGTCATGTTTCTTTTTGTAGAAAGTCCGTTAGGTATAGTTTATTTATTCTCGATATTGTATGTTTACTCATATCGAATTGTATTCATCTGACGATTGTTATAAATTTTGTCACACATTGTGAAATGGTTGTTTTCTATTCTAAATCTATACGAACACGATTAGAAGAAAAATCAATACATCTTCTTGAAGCAATGAAGCAAATTCTCGATCTTGGCCAATCCATCAGTCAATTGAATAGTTTAGTTTCACGAATGATGTCAATCTTAATTGTTTACTATCTTGAACGTACAATACTAGGTAATTGCTCTAAAAATGAAACATTTTTCTTAACTGTATCCTACTGAACTTATTCATTGTCTGAATTTTGATTAGTTTTAACTGCGCTCATACAATAAAAGGATTAACATTGATTTTTCGTCCGGAAGATATTCATTTAGCATACTTGATTTCAATCCTACATAGTACTCTTGTTTCTAATTAAGGTATTATCTTACTCATGGCAAATGAAATCAAAGAACCGATCATGTATGCTTATCGAGCTTTATATCCGATGGTTTGGTTTTCTATTCTGCTATTTTGTTTAGGAGAGGTAAATATTTTTCAAACTATCACTTCTTAGTATCAATTCATATTTTGTTTTCGCTTATTGAATTAATAGGCAGCACGAGTAACATCAAAATGTGATAAATTCCATCGTGTTAGTCTTGGAATGCGCGTTTATGGCTATCATGCAGCAAGTTATGCTGATCTTGATGGTTTTCTTCTATTTCTTTCAAAAGCAGAATTACGCGCAAAATTATTTGGTTTAACTGTTCGGCCGGGTAAAATTATTTTCATACTAGTAACAACAATGATTATATGTGTCATTCTTCTTCAAACAAATATTATTAAGAGTTCAAATTTTTTCCTTCAATGAAAAACAGTAGTTCTTATTTTGTTTCTATTTTAATTTTATCACGACACATGAGCGTGAAATAAAACAAGTTTTTAAGAGAAGCGAAAACCAGTCTATTAACAAATCAATGAACAAAGATGGCGTCGTTTCGAAACATTCTCGTTTTGACCATTTATATGATCATAGATGGCTGCGGTTGTTATCTTATTGTGATATTTCCTTAGAAATTTTTCTGTATATAAACGATAAACAATTTCCGCTGCGACATAATCAGAGCTATTCTCTTTTATCAATGATAAAATAAAAAATCCATCGGCTTCAAGATACCCATGAGTAAATTCAATAATCTTTGATTGATCATGCATTTCCTTTATTGACGAATGCTTTCTTGTATGTAGACGCCTACGAATGAAGTCGAGACGATTTCTTGGTGTAATAGAATATGACCACAGGATGAAATCACAAATATTAAGTAGAATAACAATTGCGTACCAGAAATAAAGAAATGTAAACATTTGTTGATTAAATAGATTCAATGGTAAAACACAAGGAACCGTATAATCGTGAGAACGCTTTGGATGACCAAATTCACGAATTGTAAAATCACATAGCGTTGTCTTTGGAAACAAACGTGATTCTGTATCCCAATGAACACCTATACAGACGATGCGAATTTCGCTTGATGAAAAGAAAAATTAGCATTTAATCGTTTTACCTCGAAAAAATCGATCTAGTACTTGTATACCATAGAGTGCAAAATTTGATCCTAACATAACACTCAGAAGAAATATTTGTAATACCGATACAACTATATACATGAATTTCGTTGTCATATATAACACAACAAGATAGTTGCCAAGATATTTTCCACTCATACACCAGCCAGTTATTAAAATACGTTGAAATATATTGGCATGAATCCGTTCTTCGCTTTGTCGCCGATGATCATTACAGTATTGATCAATACTATCAACAACATAGTCTAAACACATTTGGCGGTGTGTTGCATCAGCTGTTGGAAGTTTATAATCGAATGATGATTCGACAAGATCGGATACTTGTATACCACTTTTCAGTCCGAGTGTATTCCATGATATACGTGGAATATAGAATAGAAATGCTTTGATTAAAAGAACAAATGGAATCCATTGATAGTATAAGATTTCATTTTCTTTTTTAACTTGAAATGTTTTCGGCGTTTTATCGTCATGTTTAACATAATAAGTATTTTGTACGAAACATACCGATCGTACATATTCGTCGTAGTTCGGCGTAAAGAATGCTGGCACCTAGTTAAAGCAAGAGAGTAATAAGAAAAAGTTCAATGATAAAGAATAGACATGTAATCGATTTTACCCAACATTTGATTTGATCTGTATAAAGACGATTCATGTTAATTATTGCTAATACAATCAAAATTGACACAGAATAACGATAATTAAGTCGATCTGAAAGACTATCATCATTTCGTTTGCCCAACATCATATTTGAAGCTTGACCCATCAATGAATGAAAATCCATTTTTTTAAATTTTATCTAAAATACAATGAATAAATAGAAAACTCGTTCATTTTAACACGGATATGTGCAGCTAAAATATAATATGTAGCAGAATGTGAACAGAATGCCGAGCTATCTACTAATCGATCGTGACATATTAGCAATATACTACTCGAGGTCTCTCTCTCTCAAAAAGTCATCGTTGTTATGTTAGCCGACCGATTTTATCGCATGAGTTTAGGAGAAGACATTAATTACTCGTTTCTTTTTTCTATCTGGTGTGCTTCTGTTATGGTTAATGGAAGACGAGAAAGAGGCAAGTAAGGCAATCTTTCGCTGTCTATATAATAAGCATAGTGCTGCTTTTTCCTAGTAGTTTGCATCCAACTTGCCAGGAAAGATACAAGGATGTTATCGAACAAGATATTATTCATCGTTCTTTCTTTTGATCTCGTTGTTCTAAAGACGGAAATAAAATACGACTGGTTATGTTGCCGCTAACTCCATTGTTGAGATGAAGAGCATGATCTATTTATCTAGTTAGCGAACGGAGACAGGTGTGTAGCGTATCCATCTGGTAGAAATTATTTATATTCATGATACATATATATGTTAGAAGGGAAAAATCTTCCGTGGAGACATGCTGTTGCTTTATCAATGAGAATAAGCTAATTTCATTTCCCAGCATGCTCAACCTTACATTGATGACGTGACAGATAATTTTCTAAGTTAATTATACTAGAGTAGCTTGTTGCAGATAGAAATGAATATTAACGTTTCAATGTCGATGTAATGACGCAACCAAAGCACACCATTTAGTATTGTAGACTAGCTACTGAAACCATGCATACCATCGAATAATAATTTGTTTACTTGTATTTCTTTTGTGAAGACACGTTTAATTAATTTCATTTATTAAATATTTTAAACATTGGGAAATGCAAAGGTCTATACACAAGTTTGATTTTATAGGTAATTATTTTCAATGATAAGAGAACAAAACTGATATTTCCTAGAAACACGTGTCTAGTGTATTCATTATTAGAGTCCTTTTTACTTGAAAAGATTCTGACTATTGACAATGCAATTCGATAGAGTAGTATGAGCTCAAATTTGTTTATTATATTATTAATTATAGATCATGAAAGTCTTTACTGTTTCAGAACATAATGGACTATGATTATTGATTTGTTGTTTTTTGTGTGATGTTTGGATAATGTATATTTATAGGCATGAGTGTGAAAGTAATTTTTAACTGTCAGCATGGATCTCTTGTTGCTATTCGATTTTCAATGCATTGATTTTGATCATAGCCATAAAACTCAATTAGAATAAGAAGTCTTTTGTTTAAGATATTCGTAGTTAATAATAATAATAATAATTACTAGACATTGTATTTTGTTTATTCTTCGATAGAATTTTATCAAAATGTTTCTATCTATACAATGATGTCAATTATTTTTTGAATTCAACTTTTAGATGATTAGTTAAAACATATCATTTTTGTTACACCATTAATAACATTCTGTAAGATTATTGTGAAACTTTCTTGGCATAGAAATTCACATTCTTGTTCGAGATGATAAACTAGATGAAAGTGGAAGAATGTGGTCTAAGTAGATATACTGATACAAAGTATCACTACTCATCTTTTATTCATATTTGCACCTAGTTTTGTCAGAGAGAGATGATCATTGTTTTCGATTTTCGGTTCGATCAATGTCACTACGACGCTGTAATGTATAATAAATAAATCTATTGACTTGCCCTCTCTCATAAGTGTCGATTTAAAATGAAACAAATAGAAAACTCAATGGATACGCGATTTCAACGGGATCTAAAATGTAATTCACTGATAAAAAGTAATCAATAATGATTTTTGTCCCGTAAAATTGATTCGAGATAAATGACTTTTGTTCGTCTATCATCACTTTCTCTATTGAATAATTAACTTTCTATGATTTGTTTTTATTGATCAGCTTTCATCGCTTTTACAAACTAAGCAATTTTCATCAGCAGTTGAAGTTTTGCTTTTCTTATCTAAAAGCAAACAGTTCGTACTATAATCTACAAGAAATAATTAATTTTTAGAAGTCATTATAATCGGATAACTCATAATGGCATTGTTTTAATTGCTAGTTGATAATATAGCTCATATTTCGGTCAAAACAAAACTATCACTCTTAAAATGTATATATATGCAATCTTTTAAATGCTTAAAGCATAATATTTTCATACGAAATTTCATTTTACATGTTCTTCATTCTTCGTAACTCCGAAATCCTGTTAAAATTCATATCAAGCTCATCAGATTGACTATGCAAATACCGATCTAAAAACGGCGACCTGATGAATTGACAATACAAGGATCTTTCTTTTTAAATAAACAAATTATAATATAATAGATGTTTTGATGTATGATTCAGAAAATATTCATGTAACGATATAGACTTATAGATATAATTATTTATGATGATATAGTTCTTAAGATATAGTCCTGATAGTATTGGAACATCGTAGATTGATTCTCAACAATTATAGTGTACTCCAATAAAGTTGCTATTCATTCTTCATCGATAATAATCTAAATATCTTTTTTTTTACATGGAAAATGACTGATGTCTGATAATATCCGTACTTAATGTTTACTTCGAATATTTATGCGACGTTGCTCAATACTTCGTCAACAATTGTACGTGTGAACTTCAATACATTGATAAGCTTTATAAAAAAATCTCACAGCCAATGTAAATTTGAAATTTATTCAGCTATTTGAAGAAAACTATATTAGTAAAATATCGATTCAATATCACTTTTAAGGCATGTTTCAATAATGAATTGGATCTTGGCAAACCTAGATTCTAGGAAAAGACAAATAAGTCAACATGGCGCTGTCCTTGATATTTTATTTTGGCGTTTAGTACTTCTCGTGCGTAAAGCATCGATCATATATAATTACATTTCTGCTAAATAAAGAAAACTCCCTAGTATTTATCATACTACGTTTTCTAGTCTATATACACGACAATATTTACAAAATAATTATCGTTTCCGTTTAATATGTAAAAGATATTCTGTCTTGAGTAATACTTTGTTATTTCTTTCAGATGTAAGAACACTCTATTTTGCATAGAAAAAGTGATAATAGATATGTTACTATCTGAAAAATGCTGACAATGCGAAAAGCGTGCTCACAAATCAAAGAAATTTCCATATGCATATAGTCATAAAGTTCTGAGTAGAAATTTTACTGAGAATACAGCTAATATGATAGTGTGGCATAGTACAGAAACTCAACTTTAGTAACAATCAATAAAAAGATCAGTAACTTGTTATTTTATTGTTGATATTTCTTTAGAGATCTTTATTTTATAATAGATATTCTGCCGAAAGCAGACATACAGTAGATGTTTACTCTAGTCGTAGAAAAAGAGAAGACGATGATTTAGTTTATTTGAATAGTAGAGGATGCAACACAGATTATGTTGTAATTAATCATGATACGATTCGCAACGACTGATTCCATAGATGCTAGTCGTTTGTGATATTATTGATTCAGCATACATAGGAACATCTTAACTAATCGATTTCCTCCTTTACAAAATTATATAGTACGTGCTTGAATACGATTATGATGAAAGTTATAGATGAAGCTCGATCAGATAAAGAGGATTATTTGGAATGATGCATATTAATCACCTATGTTGTTGTATTCAATCACAACTAATATTTTCATGTGTTTTTCAAGAGTCATCTGTTTCAATGACGAACTTACAGTCTTAACTATGTCATCAAATGCTTTCTTCTTTTATCATTATAACTAGCAATGCAAGTTTTCACACGTGAGACACATTTATATAAGATAATATTGATGACAGCACACACATACTCTTTCAAATTGCTGTAATTGATATAGTTTGTTCATAAGTTTTATTTTTTCTTCACTATTGAACAGTTCTTATTGAATTGATATAATATCATATTCTCAAATTAGCTTACTAGACATACTTGTTTCAAATATAATTTAGATTTTAGCAGAAAACAATTGTAGTCATAAAGATTTTTAAATGCAACTGTATGACTAAAACAATTCTTTACAACCATTATTGCTTCAAGAAACCAAGGGCAAGATTGAAACCAGTTCTTCTTATATTGTTGTCAATCAATGGCTATAAGTTTTATTTATTAAACCGAAGATTTATTGCACACAAAGTCTTGTTTCTTGCACTATCTTTGACGCTCCATAAAACGCAAATTAGAATCTAATTGTATATTGAAGACAAAAAAATGATAGAGCATTTCGCCGAATAGATCTTACTAACAATCACACGACAGACGTTCTCTGTTGAGTAGTTCTTCTTTAAACAAATATTATTAAGAGTTCAAATTTTTTCCTTCAATAAAAAACAGTAATTAGAGGTGTCAGCCGTACGGCTGAGCCGCCACAGCAGCCACCAAATTAGTAGTAATTTTAAGAATTTTGGGGGAGCCGCCGCTGCGAAAAAACAAGTTTAGCCGTTGCGCCGCTGCAACAGATAAAAGTTTTTGATAGCGTTATTTGCCGCCGCTGACATCAATACATATGCGATCGAATCGAACATTTTTCTTTTAATTTTCGTCAGTGAATTTTTAACTGAGCCGTCGCCGCCACATACGAACTCACAAATATCAGCCGACGCCGCCGCTGTGAAAAAAATTTTAAGAATTTGTAGCAGCCGCCGCTGAAGACATTATTCATTCAAATAGCGAGCCGCTGGAAATCTTCAAAAATTGAAAACTGTTGCCCGCCGTCGCCGTTCAACCCTTCGGCTGACACCTCTAACAGTAATGCTTATTTTGTTTCTATTTTAATTTTATCACGACACATGAGCGTGAAATAAAACAAGTTTTTAAGAGAAGCGAAAACCAGTCTATTAACAAATCAATGAACAAANACCGATCGTACATATTCGTCGTAGTTCGGCGTAAAGAATGCTGGCACCTAGTTAAAGCAAGGGAGCAATAAGAAAAAGTTCAATGATAAAGAATAGACATGTAATCGTTTTTACCCAACATTTGATTTGATCTGTATAAAGACGATTCATGTTAATTATTGCTAATACAATCAAAATTGACACAGAATAACGGTAATTAAGTCGATCTGAAAGACTATCATCATTTCGTTTGCCCAACATCATATTTGAAGCTTGACCCATCAATGAATGAAAATCCATTTTTTTATTATATTCTAAAATGGAGATTTTTGAATGCAACATTATTTTATGATTAGGTTGTTACATTTTACACAAAATATGCTTTGCGATAGACGACAAAAAAACTAGCAAGCTGTATGTGAATAGATCATGACATATCAGTAATAAACTACTGCCTCTTTCACGGAGGAAAAAGTTCCCACTACTTAATATGTATTCGCGCGTGCACATCTCTACATTTGGAGGCAGATATGAAATCTTCGTTTTCCTTTTATATGGTCTGTTTTATTTTCAATAGGAGTAGACAGAAATAACTTTTCAAATATTGCCTCTACGTATGTGATATTTTGAAGTACTACACTTTCCAGTTTATACCCAATTAGTATTCAAGAATGATACACAAATTATTTAGAAAGCGATATTATTCATTAATTTTGTGCCATGGTAACACTCAAAGAAGAAAGCAATATCAATTACTTATACGATAGTTGATTATGATTTTGACATGTAAAAGATGATGAATGTAGCTGCATAATATGTTGTCGAATTCGAGTTAATGATGTTTAAGATCGATATTGTGTGAATGAAGCTTTGTATATAAATCATACAGCTGAACTGAAATTGATGGTTTTCATGGAGTAGCTTTTTTACGGCTGCGTCAATTACATAATTAATGGAATTTCATAATTGATCATGCGTATACAAACTGAAGTTGAATCGATTTTGAATATTTTAATTTATACTACACTTGATTCAAGTAGGATTTTAGTTCAACATGTGAACATTTACTATTTTCTCGTAGAATTTTTCTTGAGTTTTTTTGTCTGATGGAACCGTATGACATCGAGATAGTCAACTCGATAGCATTTGTGAAGATGATACATTTATATGAAGAAGAAACTTCCATATGTATAATATAATATACAACCGATAGTATCATGGTAAGTATTCATTTTTAGTAGACCGAGGCAACACTTCTGTTGACAATTCAGGGACCCAGATGTAATCTCTAATAGAGATCATTATCTGACAGTCCACATGAGATTACTTCTATACAATTATCGATGTTTTTTTGCATTTGAAATGCATCATTAAAATTATGCGAAGATTTAGACATTATTCTGTACTCAAGTTATCGACTCATTTATATGCGTGCTATTTTTCTTTGATAATATTAACTAACTGGTAAACTTCATTTAAAATACACCGTTGATTCATATGGCAAAGATTATATAATTGAACGAAATACTTGTGTTCTTGTCTAATTTTTCTCATTTTAAATATATTTGCTACTGCATACAGTCAATACTACGCGTTCATTGCGCTTTTCGTGTTTACTTCAAATTTTTCACGTACTAGAGAAGAAGAAGAAGAAGAAGAAGAAGAAAATAAATGTAAGAAATCGGGAAAAAATTTGTGTTATTGCGTATCAAGTAAGAAAAGAAGAAACGAAACTACTTTCAATAATAATTGAAATAATCATGGTTATAATGTTGTTATAGACTCGGTTTCTAAACATAGAAAGAAAAGTAGGAATCTCATTTCTTAAAAGATAACTACATATTATTGTAATTGCTGTGCTAAACATTACAGCGTCTCTTAAATTGGATATCGATATTGTCACTTTCGGCAGTAGCATATTTTGAAACGTCCTAGAATCAATGAAAATTCGATTCAACACATTGTTTCAATATATGCAATTACCTGATGTTAGTAGCTATATCAATAAATGAAATACTACATATAAAATTATTAAATAATTGAATCAGATTTATTTTGTTTATAACAATGGTCAATACAATAGGTAGAGATGAAATAACAGAATCAATTTTAGTTATTCTCTATGAGCATTTACTGTAAACCTTTAGGATTTCCTATTAAAATCGAACGTTCAACAATAAAAGAATCAATGTCGACTGTATCCCAAATTTTACTAGAAAATATTTCTAACAAACAGTAACATATAGAACTAAAATTTATAGTATGTGAAATTCTTTGTGCTGCCTACCAATTTCCAAATTAAGATTTGGCAATGCTTCATAACGCTAAAGTAAAGTTAGTAAAATATGAAACCATTGAAAATCATAGCAGTACTATCGTGAAATGTTGAATAGCAATTTGCGATATATCTGATTGTCATATACTAGAATTTTATTAAATTTCATCAGTTCGTTGAAAGTTTGTAACCGTATACACTTTCCCTATCATCGGTTAAATGCAATAAAAACTATTTGAAAATCAACAAACTTTGTGATGAACAAGAGATTTGAATTTTTAGAAAGATTCTCATTAAGGATCAATATCAATTAGATAGTTGCGTTTTCTATTGTTACTGATTATGCTTCGTATCACTCTATAAAGTAGAAATGAAGAAAAAGTATGTTTCTATAGAAGTCGAAGTCTCCTATGTATTAAAACTATATAGTAAAACCGCCTAGAAAAATCAGAATATTAGAAAATCTATTTTATTATTTTTACACAGGATAAATATTTCATAAAAATGGACAGATTAGTAACCGTCTTATGATGCTTGCTCATCTAATAACTATTGGCTCAAACTTATCCCCAAGAGTCAATACTAAAATAATTATAAGCAGCAAAACTAATGTATGATCTATAAAAATTTGAATATTGACATTCTGTTCAAAATTTTTCTTTCTGTTAATATCTTCTATGGATTCGCATCGTTTTGAATTAAAACAACTTTCTCTCCATTGTCGGACATCCATGTTGCAATCAATATCTCTAGTCATACAAAAATGTCTCTTGTATTCTTAAAATTTCAAGATGTTATTAGTTAACTATTGAATACAACTTTCAAAACTACTATATGCCTGCGGGATAAAATGCGACACTTCAATAATTCTCAGCACGAGTGAACAATAAATGAAGTAAAACACTTTATAACACACTCTCGCTTGCGTTGTCGTTAAGCTTCGTTTCTTACAATTACGCAGAACATCATGTTTAAGAAACATTTATCTCAACAGTTACTCGTTCATAGATTGAAAACAAAGTAAACAGATAGATTAAACAGAAAAGCGAGAAACGAAAATTTTTGTGAGGTTCACCCGTGGCACCACTGCCGATTCTAAAAGCGACATACATAAGTTTTTGTGAAACTTGCACAAGGTGAAAAACATTGAAATCAATTAGTAAATAATAGAAAAATAAAATAGTTCCAAACAGTCTAATATGAACATCACTTCTTTCTGTTAGAAAACATTCTTAAATTATTTTTATTGAAATCTTGATGATAGGTCAAATACTATTTAGAAATTATTGTATTCGTGCGTTATATTCTCTGCAGTCATAGATCAATAAATTTATTAAAAGTCAGAGAATTAATTATGAAACAGATTCAGTATCCTTATAAATACATTGAAATATAGTTAGCAGAAAAAATATTTCCTACACAACTCCACTAACATTTGAGATTTTATTCCATTGGACTCAATATTAAAATTGAGACATAATTCCATAGATATCTTGTTGACCATATTCTGAATGTGAATCAACAAAATGTAAAATAATGAACTAGAAGGAAAAAATGATCAAATGCATTTATTGCAATATAACCATAGTCATTCATTCTCGTTTATCCTTCTATGTTAAATACAGAAAAAAGAACATATTAAAGTCAAACAATACAAGAATAAGATCACAAAATGAAAACAAAAAAAAATGAGATTATGCATTAGATACTGACGCTGGTGAATACACAATGAATCGAGATCCAGAGAAAGAAAAAAGGTCATGTACGAAATTTCAATGTACTAGAATCAAATGTAATTAGAACAGGACTAGGTTGAACTGTACGAGAATAATGAGAATTAGGTAATATCGATAGTATTGATGGATCAAAACTATATCGACTATTAGCTACATCAAGTTCATTGATCTCTGGTACTGCTTCAAGCGGAAGACGAGAACCAGTTTTACGATTGTCTATATCAGCATATGGTATAGGTGAAATGTTATTTGCTAAAATTGGTTCAAAAAATGAAGCCATTTTAGTTTCATCATTAGCTGCAAAAGTCACAGTTGATCCAACGACTGAATTTGGATTGTCTATGCATAGTGAAATACGTTTTAACTGTGGTGTAATTATTGTATTTGATATGATTGAATCACGGCAACGTGGTATAGTTGTAACTTTGGCTAGGGATATTGTTGAATCAGTACAACTTTCTTGAGGCGAAGGTAGTTGAATTGGAGCAGTAGCTGTGTGATGCATTATTCGATTTTGAGATTTATACAGTGGTGTTGTTTGAACATCATGTGATTTGAGAAGACTTGCATGATATCGATCAGCTTTCACATGAGAACAATCACCTAGTCTACATAACAAACAACAAAACCATATATTGGTTATTCAATAATTGTTTTTCTCCTACATACTTATATCGAATATGAGGAAGACAGCAGCATTTCCATTTGGAATCTAAATGAAAAAAACATCGATTCGACATTTAGAGTTTCTAGTTATATTTCTATACCACAATCAAGATCTGTTATATATGATCGTCTATGATAATAATATTTGAATACACAATACAGACAGAACGATATCGCTGATATTGTTAATAGAATTAAAATACAAAGTAACATGATAAGTAAACCACTGGATCCACTATAAGCAATAATTGCATTAAATTCTAAATAATAATATAAAAGTATTTTGAAGAAGAAAAAAACAAACAGTTGTTTAAATGACATACGAATATTAATTTGTGATTCAGCTGGCAAACTATATGTGCCTTGATTTGAATAAGCTACAACTTGTATAATATATTTAGATTGTTTCATATTTCTCAATATATGTGAACGCATTGGATGATGTAGAACAATTGATTGTTGTGATTGTTGATTATTAAATAAAATTGTCGAACGCCATAGTATAACATAATAAGCAACCTTTACTGACGATTCAACTAAATCTGGATGATCCCATGTTATATAAAGATTTAATCCTGATTGGTATAAATGGAGATTTCGAGGTGATAATGGTCGAGATAAACTTGTTGTATTTGAATGATAAAGATAATCAATCGATAAATCTTGTGTTTGATTTAATTGAATTGTAATTATTGGAGTGAATGTTCCTAAACCAAAATAGTTTTCTCCGACAATGGTTAATTCATGGGGTTGGTGTAATTTTAAATCAAATAGTGTAAATTCCGTTGCGTTATCTGGTAAAACACGAGTTTGATTCCAGGTACGTTTCTTTTTATGTAACATTCGATGCCAGATAATAAAATGTTGAAATCGACCACCATCATAACCAGGTTCCCAAGAAATAAACAGATTCGATAACTTTTGTTTGTAATTAATGTTATGGGGTGCTTGAGGTGTTGAATCTAATAAATAAAAGAACAGATGAAAAAAAAAATTTTCTTTGGTTGAGGATAATCCCAAATAGTATGATTATATTTTCATCTTATAGATGGAATCTTCACTTTTCAGATTACTTAGATATGATATTCAATAAGATAGTTTGAAGCACTTATTCAGACGCATAGTAAAACATGGAGATGAATTTTATACTGGTGCGTAACTACTAGACCACAGATTCCCTATTTGTCCTAGCCAGTTTTTTATGCGAATAATCGTATCGAGTAAAATCGCATTGAAAGTAAGCGTCATCAAATATCATTATTGACAAATACAATAGTAAGAAACCGCGTTAGTCTAAAGTCAATATAGATTTTAAAATCAGTCACTCTACCGGTTATATACTAGTCCAATGATATCTACTGAAACTAGTGATGGTAGCACATCATAGAAAGTTCAAAAACAATCTATCTACAGCGTAGATCATCTTCAAAATTAGAGATGACATCATACAGATGAATTCGTTTATGATAGAACATCAAATGTCTCTGCTTTTATCATAGATAATATATTCTAGACAAATTCTAACCTAATCAAGTAAGAATTCTGTCTAATCTCAGATGAACAATATCATAATTCACATATGACACGATGATCTCATACAAATGATATTTTGTTTATTTTGACATATCGATGTGATTGAATAGACTTACTCTCGACAGTGATTAATGCGGTAATATTAGTTGTTGTGTGTTCATTTGATGCTTGACATATATACACACCATGGTCAGTTTTATCAATAGAATCCAATGTTAGATTTTCATGAACGTCACTCAATTCAATAGAATTCTAATTATCAATGTAAAAAAAGAAATATGTATACAAAAACATAGAGAATTTTCGTCCTACTTTGAACCATTTAATCATAGGTTGTGGAGTACCCAAAGCTACACAAGGTAATATCAATTTATCTCGTTCATTTACATGATAGATAGACTTTGGTTTAAGAATAAATTTGATTGGTTCTACAATAAATTGATTAGAAAAATATTCAAATTAATGAATAAAACACTCAAATCATACCTTTTGTTTCTAAATAAAATGGTCTACTATCATGCCCGAATCCTTCGGAGTTTTGTGCACGACAAAAATATTCACCGCTATCATCTGTTTCAACAGATTTTATTACCAAGCCAAATTCAGATGTAATAGAATATGCACCACCTGATGAAAAAGAAAATTTGAACTCAAAAGTCAAGTTGTTTGTTTAAAAATTACCTTTTGGTTCAATGCGTATCGATTCTCCATTTCGATACCAAGAAACAGATTGAATTGATGGATAAGCATCTAGCAAACACGGACAGATACCTGTTGAACCTCGGATAAATGTCAAATTTTTTGCTTGATGACTACGTGAAGGCATTGGTGGATCTAGTCAGTATTTTGATTTAAAATATTTTAATCATATGCAGAAAAATATTCAACCTACATTTAACAGTTATTACTGCCGGTTTACTTCGAACACCAGCTGAATTTAACGTGTTTATTATACATACATAAAATCCATGATCCGAAGGTTCGATATTATGAATACTAAGAACACCATCACTATAAGTTTGTATACGATCTCTTGATGAGATTGTATCCAAAACAGGAAGATCATCTTTCAACCTTATATATCAAACAGGAAACTATCATACAATCAACGTTTTATATTACGAGTCGAACATACCATTGATATTGTAGTTTTTCACTACTTTCTCCTTCACATTTCAATATGACACTATCGTTTATTTTAACAGTTTGACTCTCGGGAAATCGTCGCCAATAGATCGAACCTTTTTTAATTGCATATAAAATTAAAATACTGAAGAAAAACAAAAATCTTCTGTCATACCACGTATAAGAAGTTGAAAGTCATTTTGTATTGTACCCAGTCGATTTTTACCCACACATCTATACTTACCAGCCATCCGATCATCAACATTTCGAAGAGTAAATCTGAATAAATAAAAAGTAACAGTTTACACTCTCAAGATCTGTAAGATCATATACATACTGTTGACTATCAGTTATAAGTAATTCTAAGTTTTCATCTTTACTTGTGTATTGTTTATTTTTCTCAATGATTTTATACCATTTTACAATGGGAACAGGAACTCCATAAATTTGACAAATGAAATTCACGGTTGAATAATGTGAAACTATTTGTAATGAATTGGATAATTTAATAAAATATGGTTGTTCTAGAATTAGATTTTTCTTGTAAAAACTAGATATAAAAAGAAAATACATACCATTAACACGAAGTGTAACAAAATTGTTGCTCTTTACATCGAGTAGACCACGGTCAATTAAAATCAATCGACATTCAAATGTATCATTATCATTTAATTGAACATTTTCGATCTTTAATGAACCGTTCGAAAGAAGACTATATTTATTACGATAGATATCATCGATATGTACAGGATAATTATCAAATTGACTAGCAATAGGCTTAGTATAACTATTGTTTGATCGATACCATTGAAGTATTGAAGGTAATGTCCATTGAGTTCGGTCTATTGGACACGGAATAACAACATCGATATCACCTATTTCACAATCGATTATTGTTGCAGATGACAAGACCGATACTATGTTTACTATAAAGAGATCAATCATAGACATGGCTCATTTAGTACAAAAAAAAAAGAAAAAATATATTTTACCCGAATAAATAATAACAAAAAAGTTGATGATAATTGTCATTAGAATCGACATTGAATAATAACATAATTTAACCAAAATCAAAGAGATTTAATTACATTTTAAAATCTAAAACAAACTTATTGTTTTATATTATTTTGTGTTGATTAATAAATCATGAAAAAAATATAATAATGGAATACGTTACGTATCTTTGAAAGTTTGCTTTATTATAAAGTTCAAAGGAAACGAGTAAACGAACAAATGAACGAGCGAAACAGATGGGAAGAGCACAGAATACATAATACGGTCAGGCAAGGAATAAACTGAGAAAAAAACAATGCAGACGAGTGTTCTTGTTCAAATTGAAACTAGTTCTTTGATAATAAAAAACACAGCAGACAGCTACTTGTACATTCATCGAATGTTTTTTCGATGACATCCATAAGTGTATGTTCGACTTCTGTTTCTTTATTCTTCAACTAAACAAGAGTTCTATTTTGCTCCAGGGATATGTTCAATTTTCATGTTATTCTTTCGTGTATACTCACTCATAATTTCATATCAGCATCAGCAATAAACTGAGCAGACAGTCAAACGCGTTCAAAGGCATGTATTACCCATTGAGAATACATGAAGAATGACATTATAATATATTATATCAAAAGGTTATGATTGCCTGGATAAAAAAAAAAGAACAAGCTAACGGCCTTGTTTTGTTGATGATTAACATCAAATAAAGCTGAGATCAACGAAAGAATAACCATAGGGATCTATAAAAAGATGCATGTATCCCACATCGATCATCTATTTTGTATTACAACATCAAGATGATGTTCATTTATTCACTAGAACTACAACTTACTTATTCTATGATAGATAGCAGCAAATTACAAACTAATTCAGTTTACAATTGCTATAAATCGACAGAATGTGTACATGCAAATGCAGACAGAGTAAATTGAAATAATGTTTGATGAACCATGCAATTTAGATATTTATGCAAGAAATAAGAATAATTGTTCTATCAACTTGTCGATGAACTGACTGAAAAAGACAGATAGACAGACGAACTAATTACTTGTCATTAACGTATGATACATATATAGCTGACAAAAAGTAAAATAGAAAGAAAAGATCACGTTACGCTTCATGAACAGATGTATTGGAGACAAGAGAAAACGAAGAAAACGAGAAAAATAATCCGATTCCTCTACAACAACCACCTATCCGCATCTAAACTATGTTGATCAGTGCACAAATGATTATTATTATTCGTAACATATCTTTATTCTCGTTTATTTGGATTCTTTATTATCCAATATTCTGTACAAACCTTTTTGTTAGATGTTCCTATCAGAAATACGAGTACAATGAAACGAATAATGGTCAACAGGTCAAAACACATTTGGCTCACAATAATGATTAAAATAACATGATTTTTCTCTATCGCTCTCGCTTTTCTCGCACATACACACAAATACTTGTACATATTGATACGATTACATAGTCACACAAACATTAGTCGGAAAGAAAATGCTTGTAACAGCTCTATTCAAACATCACATTAAATGAACGTCAGCTAACAACAACAAATAGAGAACAACATCAACATTTCTCAACTTTTATCTATGTATTGTACGTGTGGCATTAGATAAAGAAAATTGACCATCTATTGTGAGGCGAGGTCAGCAACAAAAGATAACAACATATTCTTCTCTTTATGCCAATCAAGAGACTTCCTATAGTGATCTGTCCTTCTCGTTTTTGTCGTTTCTGTCTGATCTTTTTTTCTTTTTTGACATTATCTATTCTCTCTGATAGCATTTTCAACGGATAATATAATCATGATTATTCACAAAAAGTAATTAAATATCACAAAAAACAATCAAATTAATATCCGGCCAATCATCCAGAGAGAGAGAGCAAAAAGTGAAGTGAAAACTTAATCACCTTCTTTCAGTCATACAGAGCATTTAAAACAAAGATAAAATGTAATAAAAATAACAGTTACTCACTTCAATGAAATACAAACACCTCTGTCTCTCTTTCTCTCGTGTCGCTCCTTCTGTATATTTTCTCACTCGCTTTCTTTCTTCATTTCTCTCATTATTGTATGAACAGGAAATCATTGAAACAATGCCCATGTCTATTCTATTCTGTTGGATAAAGTGAAGAGCCAATGTTCGTACATTGACCATGGGTCAGCATGAAGTATGAAAAGGAACGCCATCTTCGAAACAATTTATGGAACGTCAACCAATTCGATTCGAATATGAAAAAAATAAAATTCTCTTTTAATTACTAGAAGTAGTTTTCTATCTATGACATATCAATTATAGAGTTTGTTGGAATCAAAGTTTTAGAAATTTTAGTAACGTGCTTTAATTACAGGAAATATTCCAGTAAAGCCATTTTAATTTATAAAATCAATAAATATTATTAATATTTCGATGATTTTGCATTTTTTGTACTGAAGAAAAACTTATCACTCAATAGAAAAGCTAGATAGTATTAATATACAAAAACAAAAAAATGTTAACTACTACATTTGAAACAATATTATCAGCTAACTCATAAATGTCGTTAATAGAATTAAGACTCGAGTTATAGAGAAAATTGTTTAAATTACTTGTTTTTATAGCTTAAGAAGCAATATTGTGAAGTGATAAAAATGCATATTCCTATTAAAATTCAGTTAGAATTTCATTTGACAAAATATATTTTCTTTATTGTTTCGAACTTTTTTTATTGTATATATGCCTGTTCTGGCATAATAAAAACGAAAAGTTTTTTACACATTTTCTTAATAGTTCGGTCTATAGGAATTATATGAGTTTTGGTGACGTTGTTGATAACTGCCATCATTCGGTTGTCGTGGACGATAGCTGCCATCATAAGGTTGCCGTGGACGATATCCACCATCATAAGGTTGCCGTGGTCGATATCCACCATCATATGGTTGCCGTGGTCGATATCCATCATCATATGGTTGCCGTGGTCGATATCCACCATCATATGATTGTCGTGGACGATAACCACCACCACCATCATTATGTTGGCGTGAAGGGTAGCCCCCACTTGACTGGTTCTGTTGATAACATCTATCTTGTTGATGTTGAGGGTAAAATCCACCTGGTTGTTGCTGTTGATCGGTTTGTTGAGAACCCATCGAATGACGAATAAAACGTTGAGCTGGTGCGAAATCTCTTTGATATTGTTGCCGCTGTGCAAAACCTGTATTTGGTCTATAAGGTGTCATTTGATCATAATCTCGTGGTTTCAATGTTGTTTGTGGCATTACAATATTTTCTAATAATTTAGCTTTAAATATATAATCATCATCAAATGGTAAATCTTGATATTTAACAGAAATAACTTGATTATTGATTACATCTTCGCAATTAGGTAACGGTGCTTTAACTTCTTCTCCAATAGGTTTTATATTATCATCCTCATCGGGCCATATACATCCTGCCAAACCACCACTTAACATTGTTGGCATATTAAGTGAAGATTTTTTTGTGACTTCAGTTATACCTGGAACATATAGTTGTTTTAAATAATCATAACATAAATCAGTTGAATGAATATATAAACGATCGTAATCACGTTGATTACGTTTTCCTTCTTCAATTGTTAATGTAGAGTAAACATGTTCAAGCGTACGATGTAAACGTTTTTCATCAACGAATGGCAATAAAGCAACACCTTGCCATTCATAACGTTTACCATTAAGATCAACACAAAAATTTAATGGATAAAAATCAATTATCGGAGATTCTTTTTCAGTCATAAGAGATTGCCATTCGATAGGCAGAAATTTTCTAGATTGCGATGGAAATACTGCCATTAACTGCTCCAATGGATGAAATGGTTTTGTTTTTTTATCAAAATGTACTGGTACATCTCGAACTAGGTGAAAATCCGATGCAAATGGTGCATAGTGATAAGGAAAGTACCTTAAAGAAAGAAAGAAAGAAAGAAGTCATCAAATAATAATAATTCAAAATAAATATTAAATATATACCAATCCCATGCTGGTACACCTTGATAATAATATTGTAGAACCCAACATAAACCTCGTGCGTAATGTTGTGCAACTTGTATACGAAATTGTTCCAAATCATTTTTACTAACATTAAATTTATTTTTATAATATCTTTCACGCCAGCCTTCTTCCCAAAGTCGAACTGAATCATTTGCATCGTTATCTTCTTCTTCATCGTGAACTGAATCTTGTTGGTCGTATCTGGAAGAATCAGGTGTTTCTTGTTCCAATTCGTCGTAACTACGTTTTTCAGGTCGATTATTCGATGCATCAGATGATGAAAAATCGACACGTTGCATCTGACGTAATTGTGAATTAGCTTGAGCTGGATTACTAATATGGGTATTAGGTCTTTGACCAATAGGTTGTGGTTCTAGTTGAGGAGCTGCCATCCAAACAGGTAAAGGTGCAGGCCTATCAAAACAAAATTTCGAGATGAATATCATAATTTTCAATTAGATTCAATAAGAAATTCTTATATCTTTCAGAATTAGAACTAGTTTCTAATACGATACACTAGTTGATTCACTTCTGTTAAGAATTGTTTGAGGAGAATCTCAAATTAATTTCTAGGAGAAATATTCGATTAGATAAACTAATTTAATACTTGACTAACTTAATTTAAAATTGATAATTTATGAGCTGAATTATAAGAATCCATCATACTATGCATTAGAAAAATTGTAATTGCATTTCTAGGATGTTTTTGTTTTGGTCTTATATTACTGCAGATACATAGCAAATTTCATATTGTCTCAGTAATATTACTATGAATGCTTGTTTGAGATACCAAAAAAAGAACATAAACATACCCATTTCGTTCTGTTGTCGCTCTATGTCGTTTATTTGGTGATTGATAATTATTTGAACGACTTCGTTCACGTTGTCGCTGTTGTTGATCAGATTCATGTCGTTTCATAAATATTTCATCTTCCATTCTACCGATACTTGTTAAAATAATTTCAACACGTTCCATATTTGGTATTCCATTTTCTGTCAAATAACCTTGAAATTTGGGTACATTATCTTTATAGATACGTATAAGACGATCAATGGCACCTTCACGTATTTCAAGTGATGGTAAATGTGGTAAAAAATCATTACCAACAAAAAAACACATAAATACCCAATCATCAATGGCACGTTCAAGATCCCATTCAAATGGTAATTGAAAACGAATTTCTAAATCTCGATAAAGATATTCACGTAATATCGAAAGTCGTACAAATATATAGCGAGTTTCACCATAATTTTTCGGTGCTGTTAATTCATCATGTGTACCAAATTTTTCTTTAGCAATACCTTTGCATTCTTTCATTTCATGTCCTAATTGTCCACAAATATCACATGGACGTGGTTTATTTGGTTTGAATTCTTCACGAATTATTGTAAAATATGGTTCATGTGTTGCTAAACCAAGCATGATAAGATCAGCGTCAGCACCACATAAAACATGATGTGTATTAGGATCATGATCGGGTTGTGCACGTTGACGACGAATATAATCCATGATTTTATGTTCACCTTCACCAGGAACATTTGCATCCGATAAAATAACTTTTATTGAACGCCACGCTGGATTTGTATTCATTCGATGTCTTATATAATAACGAAGACAATCGGCTAATTTTGACATAAATGGCGTACCTGGTGTAATACAATTAGAATCGAAATGTTCACTCTTTTCTTGGTGGCTTTTATCTTCAGGTAAAAGACCGCCACTAGTACGGATTTCATTTTTTATTTTTTCCATTTGTTCAACTTTATCAACTGTCTCTTTTGATGCTCGAAAACGTCTGGAACGTTGTTGATTCATTTTAGCTCGTGGGGCAACACCATCAATGGCCATATAAAGCAATTTACGTGGACGAACAATGGAAAATAAACGATCAATACATTCAAATATTAATATCATCATCTCGTCTTCATTTTTTGGTGGTGGACGATCTTCCGGATGCGTACATGGATGAATTATTCCGTTCATATCTAAGTAAAGATTGTCGAACTAAAAGAGAAATTAAAAAATAAAAGTAGAATATTTAAAAAAGAAATTTACTTCAATTCCATTCGGATTGGCACGAGTTTCATCTAACGGATGATAAACACCTTGAGCATCTTAAAAATTACAAACAAAAACAAACGTTTTCAATGAAAAAATAATCTCAATAAGATTACCTGTTGAAGGATTATCTTCAATACAATTAACAATAATTGATGGATATTTTTTTGTTAACCAACGAAAAAATGCTGGAACTCCCATATTGAAATGTCACACAAAACTATTATTTATAACGAATAATTAAGAATAGACAAGCCGTTAAAATAACAGAGAGAGATACTTACATATTGATTAAAATAATTTGGGCAAAATTATATGAAGAAAATACAAACTTAATCTAACAAGAAGAAAAGCAGATAGATTTTCAAATGATTCAGAAGAAAGTATCTGAAACGATGAATGAGAACGAACAATGAGAGAGTTCAAACAAGATGTCAGCAGTGTACGTGTATAAAAGACTTGAAATTCATTTAAAGATTAAAACGAATCATTTCTACTAAAACCCACCATCAAAACTTTTATTCATTCAAAAACTAAATGTTTACATGAAATTCATGCGTATCGCATAGAATTATATAGTACAATAACGTGCCATACATATTGGCGCTGGAGGTAAAAAATATATGTAAAACGAGTTACAGTTCGCTACAGAAATACTAACAGAAGCTCGACACACACTAGTGTACCATGTAAAACATGCAGTACCATTTGTAATCTGTCCTGTTGAAGATGGCATTGAACCAGCATACCAACCAGTACCAGTAGAACCACACAAATTCATACCAGGACTTGATAACGGTAGCGTACTACCACCTGTACCTATAAATCTTATCCAAACTCCAATTGATTGATTACTAAATGGTGCTGTATTATCACAGCCAAGTGCATAACCTGGCGCTGATATACTTCGTGTAGGATCATCAATAGTTGTATAAGCCGAACATGCATTTGGTAAAATTCCATTACTTTCTGACGATGAGCTCGATGTTGAATTGGATGCTGAAGTTGTAAAAAANNNNCGTCGCATACTTTGTCCTCGTACATTCGCATTTGGTAATGTGACAGATTGAGATCGACGACGTCCCATTCGTGATAAACGTGTAACTTGAATATGAGGATGTGGTGTAGTCATCGTAAAATTTGTTTTGTTTTGCAAACGAAAGCGATGGGATTGTGTTGCTGATTTTTTTTTAGATTATAAAATAAAGTCTAAAGAGCTAATAGAATTTATTGTTGTGAAAATGAATAAGAACTACCTGTACATCAGCTTATATACGTTGTTAAGCCAACTCGGCTATAGTCCAAACTTCACACAATCTTATTTTTTTTTGTCTACAAAAAAAGGTTTCACGCTATTCAAGAACACTATCGATGCACGCTTGAATGTTTTCCTACAGTTTCATATATATATCATGCGTTATTATTGATTAGAAAATCGCATAGATTATACAGAATTGAATAAATAATCTGAATTTCTAAAATATCTTTTTTTATTGAAAAATAATTAAAAAAAGCAATTTATTCACCAGGGAAATGAATGTGCTTTTTTTATATTTTTCTGCGAGTTCGATTGTATGGAATCACTCCAGATCAGAATATGATACGTGTTGCATAGTTTCAAAGGAAATGAAAATGGTGCAGATTGACCTTCAGTTTTGTAAAGCCAAATAAACATAGGTGGACTGAAACTTTTTATTATTTCTTTTTCCAATGACATTTTCGATATTATTGAGCTTTTGTTGCAGCTTGTTTACTTGTTTTCGATAATATGCTTTGGACAACAAAGTGAGAAAATAATGTCAGTCTGTACGTCGAATTCATTTTACTAACTACAATATTATATATTTTCTTTGGTTAGTTGGGATATCAATGCACTAGAAAATGCTTCAGTTAACTAATTAATGCGATGCGAAGCAGGAATCTAGATTCCTGCTTCGCATCGCATTTCGTATTCGAGTGAAACTTGAATACCATCTAGTTAAATATAGTGAGTTTTATCTCATAGTTCAAAGTTCTTTTAAAAGATGTTCAACGAAAGTTTGCAACATCCGTTGATTAAGCTTGTTGACTTTCATTTGACTGTTAGAATCAATAGGTCTTAACCTAGCATTTCTTTATCTTTTTTCATAGAGCTTTCATTTACATGGGTTCCAAGTGGTTTTATTTGACCGAGCTTGAGCACTTTTTTTAGAATTTTCATAGTGATAAATAAATGCTATGTTTGTCTCTTTCAGACGTTTTTTCATCAAATTTGAGTAGTAACCGTACGGCAAAGCGAAGCGCAACAAATTATTGTCATCGACATGTTTCTTCGTGGATCACGAGAGAATAGTTCTTTCTTTTGAGGATACACACTTTCGAGTAGGTAACTTGAAAGATAAGTGCTTGGCTGTATAGAATTACAACACATAGGGTGCTTTCTTTTTGCAGAAACAATCACTTGAATCAATTTCTTCCATTTAAATTTTGTTTGTCTTTTGAAATTTGACGTTTGACGAAGTGCTAAATCTCTTAGTGAAATTTTAAAAATTTATGGCAACATCACTGTTTTCACTCATTTGAACGTATTTTCTATCATTCGAATCAGATAAAAGCCGTACAAAAGCTTATGATATATTGCCCCAGAGTTTTCTGATTATCTAGGTTTTTACTGTTCACTGTCCTGTGTTTCTAACTTCTGTACTGATTTTTCTAGCTCGAGATCACAATCATTGCCAATAATAGTTCTACGATATTATACAATCGTTCGTGTGGAATCTGACATTTTTGATTTGTTGTCAATCGAAATTTAATATTAATATTTTGCTGATAATTGTACAATACAACTGTAAATTATAGTCTTTAAAATATAACTTATCAATAAACTATTGTGAATTTTCCAACGTTATTTAAAGTACTAGAATTGAAATTGCAAATATGCCTTGTAAAGTTTCGCTTTAGTCACATGTCATGTTTTGCTTATCAGTGAACTCTAATTGCATGCAATTGTTGTTCGAACAAAAATAAAACGGAGAATAAAATACAATTAGTAAAGACATATTAAAGTCGTCTTGATATTCGCGTCTATGGTCAATATAAATGTAATGAGAAACATTAGTCGTTAGGTTCGTCTGTAAATTCGTAAATGTTGAGTGTATTAAATGTTATTTAAATTAAAAAGAAATTTTTGCTAAAGGTCGAATATCAAAATTTTTATTTTTTACTCATTACAAATTCTATCTACTAAGTTGAGATTAGATCAATTAAGAAAATATATAATTTTTGTTCCTATTACGACACAAACAAGAAGCGATGAAGAAGTAATTCTATACAATATATACAATTACATTTAATCACGATAAAAAAAATTCATGAATTGTTCAATAGACACAAGATTTCGTTTAAACATATTCTCATTTTGATTGGACGATATTGATCGATGCGTGTTTTTCGGAGTTTGATACAGAATCGATGATTGATTTAATATAGTATTTGGGCGTTTTATTGATCCAGTTGATTGTTTTGGCGTTGATCGTACTTGTTGTCGATGTTTTTCATCTTCAATTGTTATTTTGTTAAATATACGTTTATAAATGTAGACGATTGTTTGAGTAAAGGATTTATTTGATCGTAGTATTTTTCGAGCTTCTTCATCATTTACAATAGTTTGAAAAAGAAAACAAATTTGTGCAAATAATTCACAGTCATTGTTTTGATAAAATTTCAATAAAAGCCTTATACAATCTTTTATATGTTCAGATTTATCAATTAATTTCATAATAAGATAATGTTTAATAGTAAATAATTGCAAAATATTCAATACTTTAAGAAGTAAAATAGTTGATGGTTCACTACGATTGCAACATCTCATCAAAATAAAAAATAAACGTAATAAACCTTGTTCAGCTATTAAACAACGTATTTCAAGACTGTAAATTATTATTGGTTCTATATCGTTTAAAAATTGTAAATGACCAGTAAGGCTTGATGCTGATGATTCAGAATATTCTTGTACGATTTGGATTAGACGTTCACGTAATGTTAATGATGAGCAATCTATTGAATTGTATGAACGAAGTTTTTCGAGAATAGCAACAACAGAATGATGATTTAGTTCATTATTAAGTCGAACTTGACGTCCACGCCAATAAGCCTAAACAATAGTATTAGACGATAAGGAAATATTAATCATGAGTGGTTATGTTTTCTTTATATGATCTTTATTCATGAGATTTTTTTCTTGCAGATTTTACGTGAGAAATATTTTTCACTTTCATGGGCAGCTATTAAGCAACAGAAAATTGTAGCATAAAAATGAATCTTTCAATAAATCATAATAATCAATATAAATTGTCATTTTTAATGTGGAGGAAATATTAATAAATTTCGTAGAAAAATTTAATCTAACATCTATCAGAACTGACTTAAAAAATTCTAATATCTTATAATTTACTTGAAAAATTTGTGCAGCATTTATTTCACGTTCAGCTTCTGTATGTTGTTCGTTCTTTATTTCCTCAATAGAACGACGATGATGACCAACAGATTCTTCATCTCTCAGTGTATGCTGTTGATGAGATAAAAATAACGCGAGTGTTTCTTTAATTAACTTTCTATGGGTTGAATCAACAAATGATACCTGTAAAAGAAAACATGAACATTCGATAAATAATTTATTGTTTTCGTTTGATCTACTTGATCTAGTTTATTTAATTCAACACTATCAACTTCTGATGAAATCGTTTGATCCATAAGAGATAAAGATGTAGTGTCCGTAGGAGTTTTATTTTCTTCATTTTCAATTGTTTTTTCTAGTTCAATAAAATCGTGTAATGATATTGCTGCCATTGTTGCTGCAAATGATGACCGATGATGATGATGATGATTGATTCTTGTTGTTGAATTCGATTTTTCTGAATTAAATGAATAATCATCTTCATCACTGTGATCTAACTGTGATAATAACTCAAGGCGATCAAGAATATCATAGTTCATTGAATTCAAAACTGATGGTGAAAATAATATTAATTTTTTTTCATCTTCTTCAAATGATGAAGGTGTTGATTCAAACTGAGCTCTAGGATTAGAATAGATAAGTTTAGTTTCATAGGGACTTGAATGTTTAAATGTTGGCTTTTCTTCCAACGGATTAGTTGTCATTGAAATTTCAGAAGAATTCATTGAATTATCTTGAATAGTATCAATCTCGTGTTGGCTCAATAATTCGCTATTTCTTATTTCTTCTTTCTTCAAATGAACTATTGATTCATCATCACTCGAGTATTTTTCTTTTAATTCTTGAAATATTTGTTGATGACGAAAATTATTTTCATTATTATTATTGTTTGAAAAAATTAATTCATATGCAAACATAGCTAAAGTCATAATTGTACATCTTTCATCAGGTATATCTTTAGCATAGGATTCATATTTAACAAGATCATATGAAAATGTACCGAATTGTTTAATACATTCTTCTAATAAACGAAAATTCGATTTAACATTGCGTTCATAAACATTTGTTAATTGTTGTTGTCCAAGTTCAAGATTAAATTCTATATGTTCATCACGTGTTTGACATGTTGCTAATGTTGTTACATGTTTTATATCACGTTTGTAATCACATAAAGATGGTAAATAATATGAAATGATATAGAGTAACGCACGACCATCGGCAAATGATTCTTGTAAATCATAGAGCCAAAATTTATAATGTGCACAAATCAATTGAACCCATTTAATTAATAAATGAATTGTTGATGTGAATTCCACATGTTGTTTTTGTAAGGGAGTTAAATCAATCGTAATCAGTTGCTGTTCAATTGGATTAGATGAAAATTTCGATAGATTTTCTTTGAGAATAAATATTTCTTCATTTAATTTGTCTATTGGAGATAAATGTTTAGATAAGTAACAGGAAATAAATATACGCCAGAGTAATTCAAGAGTAATTTGTTTGTTACCATTCATAATATCTTTATTTGAACTAAAACGAAATGATTTTATTAATCATATTAAATTTTCGTGGAAAATACGACAATGATTGTTGTTTTCTACTAGGAAAATAATGGAACACACGATCGTATCACAGTCTGTATTGACTCAATATATAGAACTTTACTAAAAATAAGTTCAGTTCACTTTTTCTCTCTCTATTATTATCGTCTACTATAAAACTGGTGATAGAAATCAATTTCTTTCGAGTCTACTTTTGCATAATAAATAATGATCCAGTTTCAAATATCATCTTCTAATTACTTTGAAAATATGATTTTTCTATGAATGTACTTACATTCCAGTGAGATTAACGTTTCCATAGTTTTGAAGTAATTCAAAAGCTTGATCAATATTAAGTAATTTATGAACAAGATTAACTACTGGACATTTTAATTTATTTGATAAATCAAATCTTGCAACATGTTCATTTGTTGATGCTAATAATATTTGTGTGCAACGAGTTAAACGAATACCATCTTTTAAATCTTCAAATAATTTATTTTCATTATTCGATAATAAATAATTGAACTCGTCAAGTGATGTTTGCTTATATGTTGGTTCATAACCAGCTAATTTAAGACGACGTAAAAGATTTGTATCCGAACTAATGAAATCACGTGATAAAACATCAATGGATTCTTTTGTTGATTTAAATTTTGAATCACGATTATATAAACATGGATCATTATCAATTAGACGTAATAATTTTGCATGTTCAAGAAATATTACTATTATCATTAGGTTCTTAACTGTCAAACGAATTTGTACTGAAGCAGTTTTATTATTATTATTGTTGAGTATTGTTTTTTTTGTATTCGTTTCTGATGATGTATTATTAGTTGATTGAAGCAAATATTGATCAATAGCGAATTTCATTTGTTGATCATTTTTAATATTTATTGGAAAAAGAACTTCCATTGCTAGATGAAACCATATTCGATTATAAGATGATATAAAATTGAATAATGCTTGCCGATTAACAGCTCGTGGAGAAAAACTTAAATCAGATTTAGGATTTATTCGACATTGACTAATATCAATATCAGCACTGATTTTTGCAGCTATGCTTTGAACATCTCGTATAAATATTTCTCGTGCATGATCACGTAATGTATGCCAACGCTTTGATTCAACTAAGGAATTCAGTGTCTTTGCTGTTTGTTCATTGGATATTGGTTGACTTATTGTTGTATTAGACATGAATTCTACAGGTGTAAATAAACCATTAAGCCATATTGTATATGCATGCGTTTGCTTATCGATGGTATTGACCGATGATAGATTAAATGGAATACGTGGCCGTATAGCTGGTTGAAAGGAGTTTGTTGAAGGAGCTTATGTTCAGAAGAGAAAAAGTTCATGTAAACAAATATTCGTAAAGAGAAAAATTTTACCTAACAGAAGTTCATGAATGTTTGACGATGATGAGGATGATTCTATAATTGTTTTTAACATTGTCGAAGACTTTGGAATAGGAATAGGAGCTTTCCAAGTTGTTAGTGGAGCTGGTCTAGCTTTTCTTTGTATATACACAGGTATATGAGTATTATCATCATTGTTGACAACTTTTGATTGTGCGCGACTAATACTGAACACATGATTTTGAATAATGGATTTTGGAGACTGGTCATTTTTTATTGTTTTGGCAGGTGTTATTGATACATGTACATTTTTAGTTTGATCAAAACGAGAATTACTGTCGCTAAGAGGAGATATATCATTGAATACATTCATAACACGATCCCGTGAAAGTAATGGTCTTTTGGGAGTAATGGAAGATTGTTCTTCATTTTTATTTTCTAACTAATAGAAAAAAAGAACTATTAAAGATAAATATGACTAAATAGATTTCTACAAACTTTATTTCGTGAGATCATAAACAAAAATTTCTCTCGATGAGAATCATTTGTGGGTAGTTTATTTTCTTGATTCATTATCAAGAAAAAGAACTTGATCTTTTTTCGAGGAACAATTGAAAAATTTTAAAGCAAATTAATTGGTATAAACAACAGGAAAAAAAACAAAATATTCTCTAATATTTAATTATATTTTCCTCTTTCTTGTTCGCAACAAAGAATTCATTTGATTTGCCAATAAAATTTAGAACTATATACTGATGTGTTGTATATATATATATCAGTCATCGAAAGAGAGGTCACCATGGTACAATAATTTGTTGTTTTTGCAAATTTCACTAGAATATTGCGTAAGTTGATTATAATGACGAATTAAACCGAGTAGAGCATTGTGATTCCAAAAATGTTTTTCAACACTATGTATTTAAGTCAAAATTTAATATCACATTCCTGAAAGCGATATCTTTTGTTTTTTATATCTTTAGTATATTTGTAATTACAAAACACTATTTTAAGTGTCGTATTTGATTGATCGTTCTGTTTTACCGAAAAAAATATCTAACGTAGAACACCATCAAAGATAAGTCGATTAGATGTCTAAGGAATAAAAACTTTAAAGATAGTTTTCTACAACTATTTGATTATTTCAGTTATTTTTGAAAATAATCGACGATATTTATAATTTATTGAAAATTAACACACAACACAGTCTTTAGGATTCACTGGCATAACATATGATCAATTAATTGCAATTTCATGAAAATAATTTGAAAAGTCTGTTCGAGATATTAAAATTTCTTCATCTGAAAACATTTCGAATCAGTCGTTACAATGTAGATCAAAAATGTGAACAAAATTGTTCTCTAAATATGCATAGACAAGTACATATAGAAAAGCTTAACAAACGATTTATCTAAATAGTACGACATTGTTGATATAAGATTACATGATGTACGAATAAAAAACATACTTTTTTTTATTAGTGAATTCAAAAGAATCACGCTTGTTCATCATGTATCGCAATTTGATTATCTTGGCTACAATTATAAGTCAAACTACTTGTGATTGTCTGTATCCCGAATGGAAGAAAACTTGTCAAAAATATTGCATGGATAATCAATTCTATGAAATTCAATTGAATCAATGTTATAGTATGAATCCAATTCAATTGAGATGTAGATGCAGTGGGAAAGATTTAACTGAAAAAATACGTGCAATGGTGGACAATAATGAGTCTGAATCAACTTCATCAAGTACAAGTTCCACAATTCAAAGCACTGCACAGACTAATGAAGCTTGTATCCCTTCTAGTTCGTGTACAATCGGAAAAAGTATTTGTTATGGTATCAATGCATATTGTACATGTGAGGATGGTACATGGGTTAGTGTGACATGTCCAAAGGAAAATTTATGCAAGACAAAAAATATGATAACATCGTGCCAAAAGGTATCAGTAATGGATGAGAACTCTTCATTATTATCGGTATCTAATTTAGCTGTCACGATCGAAATAAATGAATACTATCAGTTTTTTACTTTCTGTTTATTGTTGTTGAAAAATAAAATCTTTTAATTTAATCAAGTAGACATATAAATAAAACGCAATAAATGAAGCGAATACATTTGCTCTATTGAATATCATGATGCTTCACGAAAAGTATTTTAATGTTTTTTCCTTTATCAACCAATAGCAGCTACTAATATTTCTATTAATGAAGAATCTCCACCCTTAGACACCGACCAGTTCCAATACCGACTGGATTTACAACATCACTGAATATCAGGTAAACCGGTTCAACTTTGATCCTATAATCATTGATTCTATTTTACTCTACTGAATTTGTCTGAATAAAATACTACTAATGCAAGATACCGACCAGTCAAAAAGATGAGCTACGTTAAGGTGGCTTTGTCAACATCGGCTACTTATCTGGTAGCTCTATTTTGCTAGACACAACTTTCAAAAGTTTTAATTCTTGTATCTCCCCACAGAAATTTGAAAAAAATCAAAATTTTGACATTTAAATTCAGAATCACATTTCTGAGATTCAGGACAATGATATTCGTGATCAGAAAGATTAACTTGATATTTGTAGTAACTATAAAAAAAGGAATTTTGATTTTTTCAAATTTCCATGGAGAGGTACAGAGGTCAAAAATTTTGAGAGTAGTTTCTGGCAAAATAAAGCTCCCAGATAAGTAGCCGATGCTGATAAAGTCATCTTAACGCAGCTCATCTTTTTGACTGGTCGGTATCTTGCATTAGTAGTATTTTATTCAGACAAATTCAGTAGAGTAAAATAGAATCAATGATTATAGGATCTAAGTTGAACCGGTTTACCTGATATTCAGTGATGTTGTAAATCCAGTCGGTACTGGAACTGGTGCATGTCTACTGTAGAAGAAATGTTATTATTGTCTTTTTCACAATCACTCTGCTTACAAACTAGATGTTTGTGAATTAGTATCGATATGTTTATCATTAATAACATTTTGATTGATATTAACGATACTGGTATCCGATACAACATTTGCTGCTTCTCTGTGTTGATCTAAAGCTGGATCGGAAGATGCTGTTGAAATATTTTTTAGTTTTTTAATAATCAATGCACTAATGTTAGTGTTCGTTTCGGCTTGTTCATGCTGTATTCTTTTGTATATGTATTTAATTCTCTGAAGCTAGTATACCATTATGTATCATGTGTTTGAAAATGAACAAACTATGCCCTTTTTCATATGCTGATGAGAGAAAATTTATTCCTCGGTTCGGCTAGTTGTCACACCGCTCCAAGGGGGAAACGGCCGACTTTTGGATTTGAAGTTACTTTGAGCTACTTCAAATCACTTTCAGCTATTTGAAGTAGTTTACTTTGAAGTACTTTTCAACTTCAAATTTTCCTGAAGTTACTTGAGGTTATTTTAAGCTACTTGTTCCTACTTTGGGTAGTACTTTGAGCTACTTCAAGTAGTCTACTTTGAAGTACTTTGGCGTACTTTTCTACTGCAAGTCCGCCGTTTCCCGCTTGCAACTCTCTCATAAATATAAGATTTATCTTTAATAAATAGTGGAGAAGCATTGATTATCTTTTATCAACCGGTTTAACACTTTATTTTTTATTAGAGAAATTCTTTTGTTGATGCCATACTCACATTATGCTTTAGTATGTATTAGTAGTGCATTATTTATATTTTCTATAATGAGAAAAAAAAGTTTTTTTTCGCAAGAAGAACATAAATTTTTTAAGTCATTTTTATTTGATTAAATATTAATAAGAAATAAATTTCAAGTGAAACTGCTACGATTGATGCCTATGCAAAGAATGTGCAAAGTAATTTTGAAATCAACAACAAAAGAAACCAGACAAATCTATTGAATCAAGATCCATGAGAACGTCGAAGTTGTAAATGAATAATCCTCGCTGTTATTGTTAACAACTAATACAGTTATTTAGTAATTGATATCACTCGCATACAAATTTCATTTTAATGTATCTTTGAATTAAAATAGAATTTCAAACATCAAGTTCGATTCAATGCAGAATCGATAAGCTTATTCGAAAAAAATTTTTTGACAAAACACTTGGTGCATATTTGATAAGTTATTCTACTGTTTCCTGTTTCTTCTTCTTTATGAACTATATGAGGGAGTCGAAAGTTTCATTCATCACTTATTGTTTTTCATGAGAAAGCGTCAAATCATTGGCAACATTTCATTGTTCATGTTGTCGAGAAGTCTGTAGTTCAACGACATGATGAGAATCAAGTAAAAACAAGTTGTGTAGGAGACAGCTTCTTTTATTGTTTACATAAAAATTGCAATGCGCAAAATAAATAATTAAATATTCATTAAAACAGTTGTGAGAAAGATATACGACGAAAATACAAAAATTAATGCAAAAACAATGCGTAGAAAGATTTTTCGAATGAGCTGGAAAAAAAATTGCAGTGTGAATAATAAGCGCAAAGTGATACAAAACTTCAATGCCAACCAATCATGCTACTGTAAAACCAATCATAAACTTTGTAGGGTTTAAAAACAATTCTGGATTAAAACGATAATTCGAGCTTTTATTTATAGAAAAAAAAAAGAAATGTTCAAATAGGATGCATTCATGCCAAATCGAATCAAGTAGTACAATAACGTGCCATACATATTGGCGCTGGAGGTAAAAAATATATGTAAAACGAGTTACAGTTCGCTACAGAAATGCTAACAGAAGCTCGACACACACTAGTGTACCATGTAAAACATGCAGTACCATTTGTAATCTGTCCTGTTGAAGATGGCATTGAACCAGCATACCAACCAGTGCCAGTAGAACCACACAAATTCATACCAGGACTTGATAACGGTAGCGTACTACCACCTGTACCTATAAATCTTATCCAAACTCCAATTGATTGATTACTAAATGGTGCTGTATTATCACAGCCAAGTGCATAACCTGGCGCTGATATACTTCGTGTAGGATCATCAATAGTTGTATAAGCCGAACATGCATTTGGTAAAATTCCATTACTTTCTGACGATGAGCTCGATGTTGAATTGGATGCTGAAGTTGTAAAAAATAGCATTTTTGAGATATACGTATATGTATTTAATAATACAAAGAAACCGAAAAGTGAGCTGCTTTACCTAATTTCGACTCAACAGTTGCTCGAACAAGTAGAGCAACTATTAATGCACTCAAGCCAAAGGCAAAAGCAACGACACCAATAACTATAGCAATGATGGCAGTCATAAAGCTTGCACTAGAGCTCTTGTAGAATTTGTTACGCTGAACATTCTGGTTTCTTGCACGAAAAAGACAAAGTACAACGAAGAGTTTTTCAATTAAACAACCTACTTTTCTCGTTCATTTAGATTGACAATTGCATCATTTTTCAAAACATTTTTATGTGGATCATCTTTCACACCGTTTCGCCGTGCTTGATCTTTATTATCAGTGACGAAGGACTTTTCATCAAATATTTCAGATTTTGCCATTAAATGAGTAGATGATGTTGTCGAAGGATTCATAGATGTTTCTAATGAGCCAAGATTCGAATGATTACGTGCTATAGTTAAATTAAGATATCGAGTTTTGAATATATTTTCCATGCACTGATATTCAAAAGTCTTACTTAGTGTTGTTAGATTATGTTTTTCAAATGACGTTGTTGATTCGAAATGTTGCATTCGATTAGTTTGTCCATGTTGTCCTTGATTTTGCTCATCATCTTGTAAGTACATAAAATTCAATGTTCCCGGTGATATTCCTCTCTTCACTTTAGTAACAGTAACAGCTGATGGGGGTGGATATCTCTTCATTGACATTGTCATAGCTGACTTTGCTAGTTGACTAACACTCGGTTGATGGTTTTGTTCTTCACTATGTTTCTGTTGGTTTCCTTCATGTTCGTCTTCTTCATTATATTTATTCTGTTGTTTGAGTCGTTCTTTTTTTAGCTGTGCCAAAAAGTCTTTCTAGAATAATTGAACATTGAAAGGTGTCTTCTATTTTCCAGAACATGAATGGTGCAAAGCTTACTCGTCGCATACTTTGTCCTCGTACATTCGCATTTGGTAATGTGACAGATTGAGATCGACGACGTCCCATTCTTGATAAACGTGTAACTTGAATATGAGGATGTGGTGTAGTCATCGTAAAATTTGTTTTGTTTTGCAAACGAAAGCGATGGGATTGTGTTGCTGATTTTTTTTTAGATTATAAAATAAAGTCTAAAGAACTAATAGAATTTATTGTTGTGAAAATGAATAAGAACTACCTGTACATCAGCTTATATACGTTGTTAAGCCAACTCGGCTATAGTCCAAACTTCACACAATCTTATTTTTTTTTTGTCTACAAAAAAAGGTTTCACGCTATTCAAGAACACTATCGATGCACGCTTGAATGTTTTCCTACAGTTTCATATGCATATATCATGCGTTATTATTGATTGAAAAATCGCATAAGATGCTTACGATAAAATATGTAATAAATGGCTTATTGCTTTTCTTCAAATAATTTTTATCGAGAGAAAAAACTAATTAAAAAAAATCTATTCCTGCTTAAGAAAAATAATAAGTAAACATCGATGGAAATGAAAATGAATTACCTGTGGAGTTGGTGAGAAAAGAATGGATGCATTGAAAATTGACATTTAACTGTTCGGGTCAAATCAATATAGATTGATTGAAATTTCATTATTTTCTTCTATCAGTTGAATGTTCTCAAGGTTATTTTGAGTCGCGCTTGCCTACTTAATATGATGTCATCTGAACATTCTACGATGATAGATACACATGACATATGATCCGCATCGATACAATCTTGTCCTGAGATCCACGATCAAATCGTTTTTGTTTTTATTTTGATCAAGCATTTAATCGACCAGGTAGATACACATTGTTACAAGAAAAGAAAAAAACTCATCATCTATGTATAATTTGTTTCATATGCGGATCGGTTGGTTCCGACTAAAATGTCATCCTTAGTAGTTCAATACTATCTTGTTCAATTTTCATCACCCAGAGTCGGTTTATTTTTCAAAAGATTAACTACAAAATTTTCTAGAAAACCTTACAAGATATTTTACTTCAACAGATCAGGCTCATAAATCCTATGGATACAATGGCGAGCCACAAAATCGATGATTTTTCAAGCAGTTTCTTTTTTTTTGTTCTTTTTATGACGAAATAAATGTAATTCATATAAAAAAAAGAAAGATCCTCTTTTGTAATCCATGAAAAAGTCTACTCTTTCATGAACATATCTTCTTTTTCTCCACTTGGACCTCTTCAAAAAATCTATTACTATTTGCGACTTAATCAGTGTTTTTTCTCCAAAATTGTGAGATTTCTTTTCAACGTTTATATCCTGTTATCATACGCTTGCTCGTGGCTACCTATTTTTCACTTTACTTGAAAACAAATAATTGTCCTATCGTATTTTTGCAACGAAGCTCGTCTATACTCAATTATTCTACTTCAATTTTTTACATGAAGAGCAAAGTCACTTCGAAGAGTTTATATTGCAAGAAATATCGCTTTAATTTATTTACCATGAACTTTTGCGAGAAATCTTTACGACAAACAATGGCAAACAGTACGCTTGTAAACAGAACAGAAATTATTTTACTCAGCTAGATACTTACTCGATTAATTAAAATACTAACTGATACTTTGGAAGAAAGCTTTTCTTTAAAATCCATCAACTTCGTGACTCGCCATTTTTTCCACGGGATTTCTCAGTCTGATCTTTCATAGTGAAGCTTCTTATTCTATTTTGCAGGAAATTTCCCAGTGCATCTTGTGAAAAAAGGATTCAACTCCAAGAGATTAAAGTTCAACAAGATGCTATCAAAGTACTGAGGACGATATTCATTCTGGGCCATAGAATATATTTATGTTAAGTTATTAATTATCGTTTCGATATAACTTTCACTGGTAAACTTCCTCAATTAGTTCCTATACATCTGTAAACTATTTAAACGGTGGATGCTCATAGGTTTTCTCAAGTGTATTTTGCTTACAATTTAATCGATCGATAGGGAAATAATTCATTCGTCTGATGTTAATTCGTTAGACAATTAGCATTATAACTATTTTCTTTGTGCTCTTTTTATTACTTATTATTCTATATGACATCACTATGAGCTAAACTGGCGATTTCATATTGTTATATTAGAACAAACTCAATTTAAAAAATAAAAATACTTTTATTATGCAATCTTTACTTTCATTTTCAATTTTCTTTCTATTCGATTGGATCAAAAATAAATTACTTAAACAACATTTGTTTATAAGGATAAGATGGGAAAAAAAGAAATCATATTTATCCGTTCTCATAATATTTATTTAGATTTGCTGCCCAGTATTTCAGATTAACGACTGGTTCAGATCAATTAGTTAATGTAAGATTTTGTCGATAATCTTCATGTTAACTTATTAATAATGAGATGAAATGTGATCATTTTTCATGCTGTATGGTTTAGATTTTAGATTATTTTTTTTGAACGTTATAATATTTGAGTCTTAATGTGACGCTAAGCATTATTACGCATAGTGTTTTTATTTTATAGTCTTTATTTAGATTTATGATGCAACCGCTGCAGGATCGTAAAGTTAGAAAATACTTTATTACTAATTTCGTTCCTAATTTGGTGAATAATAAGGAAATATTTAGTATTTTTCAAGTTTAGAATCGAAACATTAGTTTTGTTTTTCAAAATGAACGTTCAATTGATGCATGAAGTTTTGTACTAGTATAGCTGTTAAGTATTTTGTTGGTGATCTTTAGTACTGTTTGTATTTTTACAACGAGTGAGTAGCCTTACAATGTTATTGGCGGCTCATTCAGAAGTCATACAGTAATCACTGCTCCCACTAGCCAATATATTGAATATCTATGTTGTAGCTGTGTCCGTCTCGTTTGACTTTCCAACAGACATATTTTGAGAGATGGCGTGCCTTTTCAAATTATTCAAGTTATCAGATTAAATAATCATAATTGCAGAGGCAAATGAAAAATCAAGAAGTCGTCAAATAATTTATCACAATATTTATTTTGAAAAATAAGATATACGCGCATTATGAGTATTCTACGCATAATGATTGAAAAATATTTAGAAAAAATATTCTGGCTACTGTTATAAAACTATAAATAAATCTAATAGAATAAAAAATAAATAAATGCATGGTTAGTTATTTTCTCTTTTTTCTGCAAGCGGACGGAGTAATGATATTAAACTAAAACATCTGACATAAGAACTGGTTGTATTCTTAGTAAAATAAGTGATCACGTCGACTGTTGACTCCTTGAACGAGTACCTGATTCACCACCATCGGTAAAACTACAACGAAAGAAAAAAAAGCCCAAATCCGATTAAATACTATTCTAACAGAATAGCAACAATCTTACTAATCAGTGATATCCGTAATCGAAAAAGCTAAATCATCGTTTCTTTCATCATTTACTTTATCGTGCTGTGATGTTGTTGATTCAGGAGTAGAAAACCTTATTTTTGTTATTGTTTGATTTAATTTTAAACTAGCATCTTGACTTGTGGATGTTGCGGTTTTCAAAGTTGGACCCGTATTTTCTGGTGTAACTTCTAATGATGGTCTTTGCATAGTATTTTTTTGCGTCGTAGGAGTGTCAACATCAACTCGGTTGAGAAGAGATAAGCGTGAAAATGTACCAGTATTCACTAATTGTGGTGATGATAATGATGGAGTACGACTATTAGATATGGGCTCTTGTTTTGCAGATACTTGAAATTTAGGCGAACTAACTGTTTGAGATTGAACAGTAGTAAGTCGAGCTCGAGAATATTCAGCCATTAATCGATGAGCACGTGTTGTGCCATAGGACAGCGGTGGTTTTCGTGTAGTTGTGGTGGACTAATTGAAAAGAACAATTAAGATGATCAATTATAGAAAAGAAATGAATAAAATACCGGAATAGAAATAGTAGATTTCGAAGAGACTCGTGCAGTTCTTACAAGAGGTTCTTGATTTGATATATTTTCATTAACCAATGTCATTCTTTTTTCGGCTCGTTTGTGAACCTTTGGCTTAGAAAGACGATCAACTAAATCACGAACATCACTTTTTTTAATGAATATTTGAGCTGTTTTCGATGAAGATGGATAGAGTCGGCGAGTATTATTTATATTTCTCGATACAATAACAGATTTAGTTCGCGTTGAACGAACATTCATTGCTGACTTTGGACGTATTGGAATTTGTTTTAAATGTTTTTGTTGGTGCAACGTAGCCGAGTGTGGTCGTTCATTCAGCACTACGTGTCCAATTGATATCGGCACATCATGTTCATATTGTTGTAAAGCTAAGGCTTCTTCAACAAGTGATCGAAGAAGTGGAAAATTATGTAAAAAGTCTTTTGCTAATGTTTGTTTTGAAATCATTTTTGTATGTGAACAATCTTTCGAAAGTGTCGAAGAAGGTAAATTAAAACGTACATTACTTATAGATTTTCGCTTTGGCTGCGGCTTTTTATTTTCATCATCATCTTCAACAGTCGAATCATCATCGAATGTAATAATTGGAACGGAGGCAAGATAAGATAAACGATTTTCTTTTGCTTGTTCAGCAATTTTCGTTGATTCTGGTGTTATCATTTCAAGAAAATCAGAATCAGAATTAAAATAAAGTGCTGGCGGTCGATAGAAAGTAACAGTTGGATCATCCACTGACAGATCCTCTATGGTACGTAGATATTGATGTTTTGAATGATGAGAATCACTTGATCGACTTTTTGTACTTGTCCAACGTGTTTGAGCTGATTTATTATTGGTTGATGATGATGGAAGATCACTATGAGATAATTGTAAAGCAACGTCTCGTTTTTCATTAACAAAATGAATTTGTTTAACAATAGTATCCGTAGGTGGTGAGATAGCCGATGGTTCATTATCTTTCTTTTTTGTAGTAGTAATTTTAACTCTAATCGAACGAATAAGAATAAAAGTCTCTCATTAGAAAAGACGAACAATTATAATCTTACTTTTTCTCTGTTTCTATCACCTGTTCATCATCAAGCATAGGTAATTGTGTTAGAATAGTCGTACCATAATGACAAAATCGAACAGCAATATCACAAGTACCAATGTTCGTGCCCATCAAATTAAAAAGCGTACAATGAAATGTTTGTTGTTCAACAAGTGGTATATCGTTTCCATTTTTAAGAATTGATTGATTTAATATTTCAATTAATTCGTTTAATTTAACATTACAACTACCAATAAAATGTGATTTATTTGTATCATCGTTATTTATTTGATCAATGAGTAAAATAAACAGTGGTACGTTCAATAAATGTCGATACAATGTTTTAAAATAACTTTTAAATAAACACGATTTACCACGTTTAAAATTAAAATTTCCATTCGCTGAACGAAGTTCATAAAATTGATCAGAAAGCAACTGACGCCAGGATATATTTGGATGATCCTTTTTTAAATTATGAAATTCTTCTGTTTGCCATTGGTCAAAATAGGGTATTGATACAGCTGGATAATCGAGTAAACGAAAAACTACACACGGCAAATGACATTCTATATTAAGATCAATATGAACATGGCTTATGAGTACTTCAATTGAAAGAAGACTCAATGGATTTTCTTTTTGAGTCATTGTTTCTGGCATCTAAAATTACAAGAAACAACTAAATTCTAGCAAATTTTTAATTGTATAAACGCACGTTTATTGCAAAAGAAAGAAAAAAGAAACATAAACATCAATAAATTAATTTGTATAATTTCGTTGCAGGAAAAATAGTATCGTTAAAACAGCTCAAATTAAGGAAGGGCTAGTGGAAAAAACAAAAAAAAATCAACTATGTACACATGGTAGATAATATAAATCACGTTAATTGACTACTCTTAATCAGAATACAAATCAAAAATACCATTGAGTCGATTCAGAATGTCACTATCAGTTATAGTTTACAGTAACTATATGTATATTGCAAATAGATTCAAAACATTAAATTTACTTCTTAATGTCTTTGTTAATAATATTACTTTCATTTGATTGGTTGCAACCACCAAGACTAGAAAACAAAAACAAAAGAACATGCTCACATTATGATTGTTCGTCTGAAAACGTAGTAACATCAAATCAGTCTTCAAAACAGAAACGTATCCTATCGTCGTTTATATACAGTAGCTTCGAAAATTAATCAATCAGATGTTTTTCAATTTAAATCTGATGCTCTAACTACAAACAAAAAGGTCAAATGATAGTTTCGGTAGCGTTTTTTATTTTTGTCAAGAACCATCGATAATGAAGAGCACTGATTAGTTTTTTCACAGAGAGAGTTTTATAAAAGTCAAAAGCCAACTTTCTCCTTCTGAAAACTTCAGAAAAAAAACATCCATCTAAACTTCTTCGAATGCTACACAAAATTACTCTGTATAAAATCAAACATTTTCTAGATAACTAGAATATTTTTTCTTTTAGATACATCGGTATTCTATAATTTGTAAAAAATTATATTTTTCTACATTTCGTACAGCAACATCGTTTGTGTTTGCTTCACTAGATTAACGCATTTCGAACAAGAGACCAATAAGAGAGAACTTCCAAATTTTTCATCTTGTAGATGTAGAAGATCGTTTAATCTCACATTCTTAGTAGTTGAAAAAGAATTATTTTATTTAAATTGCAATGCCGAAAAAGCATAAGTATGTTGTTTTGCCACAGACTCAGTCTTTCGAAAAACTAATCAGTGTTGTCTTTGCTGAAGATCATTCTTGAAAAGAAAATGCGATTACTGATTCACTAGTTCAATTGTTGTTATCGGTTATCGCAATGAGAGAAAATTCCAAAAGAAAAACAAATAAAACTAGCCACATTATTTTTTTTACAACTATTAAAATTAAAATACTTAGAAGTTTTGTATTGTGTAGCAAATGGATTTGGTTGTGATGGTACAGATATTGGCGTGGTTGATTTTCCACTAGTGCTACTATTAAACGATTGACTCAATTGTCTATTAGAAGTATTCATTATTGTGGTTGATGATTGCACTGATGGAGTTGACGGAATAGATGTTAGCAGTAGATCATTATCAGGTGTCCTAATGAAGAATTCAAATATTATTTTCTTCATTCATATTCTCCTCTGTTAAAATTCAAACCTTCTTCTAGTGAGTATTGCTAAACTGTCGTGTAATGAACTAATACATGATTGAGATACTGAGCGTAGAAGTAACATATTCTAATATTCAAAACATTGAAATCGTAGAAATTTTAATTAATTAATATTTATTTTACTTTAGACAATGGATCCAAAGAAGTGCCACCAGGCATTGTCTGAAAGAAAACGATATAAAAATAAATAAAAGTAAGAAATGGTATAGAAAATCAACAAACATTAATTGTTTCAACAAATTCCCGTTGACTAACTTCAACACAACGCATGACTTCTTTAAGTTCCTTGAGTGTTTGTTGGTGTTGATATAGCCTAGTAAAAAAATGAATTTTTTTAAATCATTAAATTATGATTCTAAATCATATACATTGGATTCCGTTGATTCAATGGACGAATATTACTGTCATTAGGTACACTAGTAGATGGAGATGTATTTATTTGATGTGCTTTTGGTGGTGGTAACGATGAAACATGCTTCGAAAAAAAGATGAAAATAGATCATTAATATCTTCGCCAAAAAACAACGTCAAATCCGATTTATTATTCTTACAATATTTGCTGCGTTTGATCCTGAACAAGTTCGTAATTTATCAATCCATCTTTGTCGTTCTTTAGCATCGATTGCTAAAATGAATGTTTTTTTTAAAATTTATTATCTTAATATATATATATATATATATATACTGAAAACTTGAATTTACCTCGTAATTTGAATGCCTCGCCATTTCCAGTAGTTTGCACAGTAAAAGTAACATCATCTTCGTTCGATGGTAAAATCCAACAATCGGTTAGTTCAATTACGCCTCTTGGGCCTTTCTTTCGAATTTCATCTGGCTATAAAAAAAATCAATTTATCAATTTTCAAAACAAAAATTACAAAATGAATCACGATCACATACCATAAAATATAATAAACTCTTTGTTTGTGCATCCAATATAAAATAACGAGTTTGATATCTTTTAAATGCATTTGTATATTTGTTTAAATGGCCTTGAAATCTGATATTCATTGAACGAAATATTTTTGAGAAAAAAGTTATATATTTCAAAACTCACGTAGATTCATCAACTGAATTCCAATTGAAATTCAACATCTACAACAGATGACTAGTTTAGTAAGAAAAAAAGTGAACTATATTCTTACGTATTCTAGATTTCATTTTATTTAAGAAATTTATAGAAAGAAACAGTAATATCATTCAATATTATGAACGAGCGCAAAAAAAAACACAAAATTATAACGAACCATCATTCTTTAATAAGTTTAAATAGTTTAAGAAATAAAAAAAAATCATATTTATGCGAGTAGAAAAAGATTATTTAGTAAAACAAAAAATCACAGAATATAAATGATCAATAAGAAAAAGGAAATGAAGAATAAATGGAATTCTTTTTTTGGCAAATTATTTGTTCAATGAACTAGTGTGCTTTCAAAGTAAACAACACTAACAAGTTAGGAATACACATTTATGTTTGTTCAGTTATGACACTTATGTAAAAATAGAATTACAAGAATGAAATACACATAAGTAAAATACAGAAGAAATCAGTTGATCTATTAATCTGCTTCGTTGTTACAAACAGCTCTGATATTTGGAACAAGTGATTCCAATGGTTTAGCACGTTTTATAAATAGATGCGCAAGAAGCTCAGTTGTATCGGCTCTTTGTCTAGGATCGATTGTCAGACAACGTTTCAAAAAATTCTGTGCATCATTTGATATACGTTCTTGCGATTCCGGACTTATTGATGGAGGTTCTTCTTGCATAGCTATTTTACACATAGCACGAAATGGTTGTTCATTTATATACGGTGGTGAACCATCAATCATTTCAATTACTAGAATTCCTAATGACTAAATAGATGAAAATAAACGATTAATTATTTAGAAATTTGTTTTTCAAATTGTTTTTGACGTACCCAAATATCAACTTTTTTATCATATTTTAGCCTAGAAAATTAATATTTTAATAAGAATTTCGAATTTCATATAATCCATAAAAAAAAGAAAGAAAAATGCTCACTTTTTAATAACTTCTGGTGACATCCAATAAGGAGTACCAACCATTGTTGTTCGTAAACTTTCTGTATTTGCTAGTTGAGCACAAAAGCCAAAATCGGTTAATTTGACTATAATAAAATTACAAAGAAATCTTTGTTTTGTATAGTATTAAATAAAGGATTTTATTATTTGCTACCTGAACCATCCAAACCAACAAGAACATTGTCTGATTTAACATCACGATGAATAATATTTTTACTATGCAGAAATTGTAATGCTTCAAGACATTCTTTTGTAACAGCTGCCATTTGACCTTCATCGAGAATTGTTTGTTCAACAATTTGTGTTAATTGGCCACCTCTCATGTATTCCATAACAACTAAATAACATATATATATATATATATATTTTTGAAATTCACATTAAAAAAATGCTTTACTCCATAATTCATTTGGTCTTAAATAACAATCAAGAAAATTGACTATGGAACGAAATCGACAAGTTTTCATGACAAGAATTTCACCAACAATTAATTCTTTTCGTGGTTGTTTGGACCAAAGCATCCGTTTTATTGCTATTTTTGTATTAGTTTTGGTATCAATGGCTAGATCAACATCACCAGCTGCTCTGTTAATATGTTTTAAGAAAAGAAATAATTATAATTTAAAGAATATAAATTTGCAAAAAAATATTCTTACCCTGAACCAATTTTTTTCTTTATAAGAAATCTTGAAATCGGATCATCTTTTGCAGCTATCGGTTCTAAAAACATAGTCAAATAGACGTAAATAATCGTTCTAATAATAAATAATGTGTTCAAACTAACCTAATTCTTTTATTGCTTCTTCTTCTGTAATTTTTCGTTTACTACTTTTCGATTTATGTCGTTGAATCGGTTGTAATTCTTTTGATGAAGATACAGATTCTGATTGTTTTATCGAAACCAAAGGTTCTGATTGTTTTATCGAAACCAAAGGTTCTGATTGTTTTATCGAAACCAAAGGTTCTGATTGTTTTGGCAAAATTAGAGGTGGTGATGGCTTTGACAAAATCAACGGTTGTGGTTCTGTTGGCGAAGTTAGAGGTTGTGACTCTTTTGATGAACTTAAATATTGTGATGAAGGCATAGCATTTGTAGTGTTCTCTTTATTTACTGCTGGAATATTAAGAGCAATATTAGAAGACGAAATTTTGTTAGTTGCAGCATTGTACCGCACTGTTTTAGGTGGTACTGCAGGAGGTTGCTCTTTTTGCTGATGATCTTTTCCGTTGATATTATTTGCTGATAAATTATCATTATTACTATGATGGCGTACCGGAAGTGAATATTTAAAAGGCGAATTATTAGTTGGACTATATTTTGATGCATTGGAAGACAGTGGTGTGGACAAAGATTGGTTGCTTTTTACATCCTCATTGGTCAGAGTGTCACGATTACGATGAATTTGATACATTGGGGTAGTTGTAGTTCCTTGCCTATTTTGAAGGTGTGTAGGAGTATGAGGACGTGAATTTGACGGTGTTGTAGATTTAGGTGAATTGTTATCGTCATCATCATCATCATCATCATCATCACCATCACCATCATCATTATCGTTGTCGTTGTCGTTGTTGTTGTCGTCCAATTTTCCAGTATTTGTCTAATTGAAATAAAAACATGATTTAAATATTCTTGCTAATTAGAGCTCGACATTATTAATATACAGCCTTTAAATGAACATCAGCAACGTTTACAACACACTATGTGAATCGAACTTTTTACCGCTATACTTCAATCTTACATTGAGATCATTTTTCAAAGACTTAGACAAATAATATATACATATATTCAAAACTTACATTTAAACCTTTTTTACGAATAATTGTAGCACGCTTAAGTTCTTCAACAAAATCAGAGCTTGACTAAAATAAAAGCAATAATTATGTGAAACAACAGACGAAAAACTTAAGATAAAGAAATTATTATACTAACATTGAGATGTGTTGGTAATTTACCAAGAGCATATTTCTTTGCACTTGCATGATCAACTTTTTAAGGAAATAATAATAAGAAATTTTTAAAATATTTTATGACAATCATCACCTGGCTCATCCTTCTTAGATGAAAATGGCGACGACGAAGTATTGACATTAAGTTTTTCTTGTGAAGATCGAATATCATATTCTATTTCGCTTAATTCATCACCTGATTCATATGATAATCCATCTGAATGTGATGTATCTTGAATATGCAAATGTTTTGTTTGACTATCTATGAACAGAAAAACTTTTCCTTGAAAAACATCTGTCGAACACGAATAAAATACAAACTATTTTCTCGCATAGTTTGCTGAATAACTTTCAGTGCACATGTCATAACATGAGCTTTGTGTTCAGGCTGTGACTGACTAAAAATAATATGTTTTAACATTTTTCTTTATTAAGCATTCAAGAAATAGGTCAAAACAAAAATAATTCAATAAAATTCTTACACAAATAAATTTTTCACTTCGTGTTCCCATTCTGATGGTAAACCTTGAAATGTTTTTGTTGTTGGATCATAAGAAACATGAATATTTTTTGTAACATTCAATGGTGTTGATATTTGATATATCTGTGGCGATGCGTTTCGTTTGCTTGAGAAAAACTCACGAAATCTTCCAGTACGACTCATATTTACACTAAAATTAAAATAAAATAGAATCTCATTTTTTTTCTAAATTCAACTCATATTAGAAGCACCTCGTACAACGATTAAACTCCTCTCCTATTATTTTTTATGAAGAAATTCTATGTGCTCTTTCGTTCTCACTCATGATCTGTCTCGCTGTAAACGAAATCATGATGTCATATGAGTCAACCTCAGCTATCAGCGATTATGACGATTTAGATTGATTTTAAAAAATTTCTACAGCCTTCCTGCCTTTCTAAAACAGAATCAGATCTATCGATCTATATTAAAAAAATCTTGACAATTACTATTAACATATATATTCGCATAGATATGATTACTACCGTTTTCTTGCACTTTTTAAAAATATACCATTAAGATTTGAACGAATACGAGCGAGACAAAAGGTCACAAAACAGTAAAAGATTAAATCGTATAGGAGACAAATGATTTCTAAAAATAGATTGCATCTCAAATATACAACAGGAAAGTCTTGTGCTCGATGACTCGCTTTCGTTTTGCTTTTTACAAATAGTATTACGCACAACAGATAAATGCAAAGAGATGAACTAACGAGACATAGTTTTTGCGAGATTTACTTATTTTTCTATGCTATCTATTTGTTGATGGAAAAGTTCCAATAAATCCCGAAAAAAACAACCCGCAGTAATTGCTGTAAAAAGAAACAGAACAATCCTTACCTTATAGTATGATTTAAAGGATTAAATAATAATACTGAATTAATGAAAGTAATTAATGGTATAAGCCAACTCCATAAAATACTAAAATTAAATACATAAAGAAAGATTAAACAACAAAAACAAATGGTATAAGAGATCCAAGTATTTATTAGCTATGAATAAATGACAAAAAAGAAAAACGAGAAATAGTCACGAGTAGAGAAGCGAAAGAAACCAAAACCCATACATTTCGACACTGACGTAACTATCAACAAAGATAAATACAAGCAAGAGAAAATAAATAAAGAGTATGTAAACGCATTCAAGTCATTCGAAATTTTCCATTGCTGTTTTCTCAATAAGATTATAATTTGTTTCTCAAAGTTACTAGAATAGTGAATAACAATAGAAAAAGCAAACTATCTGTACAAGTGAACATTGCTGAGATTAGCCTTGACAAAAAAAAACAAAGAAAACAGGAAGTGCATTAATATATTTTTTCTCCGCTGAAAATCAAAAGACTAACATCATATATGTGGAAAAAACTCATGAAGATAATTTTTTAATTTTAGAAACGATTTTGTCGATGTTTACGTTGACCATTTATATAATTTGATGCTCCCTCTGCTGCTGATGGCTTTCGTTTGGTAGACAATGATTGTGGTGATGGTAGGTGTCTTATTTCTTCTACATCATTTTCAATACGTGTGTCTCCAGTTAAATCAATCGTATCTGAATAGTGGTGCTGAGGTCGATGAGATAAATTATTGAAATTTTTCGGTGATTTTTTATGTTGCCGACTAGATAATCCACTAGCTGAATTATGTTCGATAGCTAACTGTGCTGATTGTGGTCTTGATGAAGGATTAAAAGAACGATTTGAACCAATTTGTTGATAATAAGGATGATGTGGATGACGATGATTAACACCACCATGAGCCGAACGTTGACGCCATTCTGTTTTAAAATCATCAGTTTCGTCTTCATCGAGATTTTCAAGTTCAACATTTTCAGATATCTGACCAGTTGTTGTATTCATTTCTCGTTCTACTACATGCTTACGATCACCAATTCGATGGCCAATATGTACCTAAATAATTCCAATAATAAAATATTATTCTCAACTACTATTTTAAAACTAAAAGGCACGATTGCATAGAGTCGTTTTTTAGTCTTTGAATTTAATTATGGTCGGATGCAATTTGCAAGAAATAGCAAGATCGGCCTCCGATTATGGTTACGCCATAAAAACGAGTATGGTAGTTTATGTAATCTCTCGTAGAAAGTATGTCGTTATTCTGCTTATCAATATTATTTTGCATTTTTCGTGAATATTTCGCTTTAAATCGAAATCAAAGTAAATCGTTTTAAACACTGACAAGAAGCCCTATAGGAATGAAGCCTTATTTTAGATCATTTTCTGGTTCTTCTCAAGAACTATTTCAAATGATTTTCTAAGTTGCAAAATATCTACAAGAATTTCTTGAAAAGAAAAAAAACAAATTTTTTTTCTAAAGAATTTAATCATCTGTAAAAAAAAACTGTTCTGTTTCTTCTTTCCTATTTACTTTATTAAGTCCACGTTCAGTATCTCGAATAGCTTGTCGTGTTTCTTCAATTCCTCCAGGTCCTCGATTGCAAGATTTTGTTTCTTGATAAACTTTTGGTCTTCCATCTGTACCATTATAAGACATAACAGTGGTCGATGAAAACGATTGTAATGACCTATTCGAATTCTGATGGGCTTCTTGCATCAATCGATCCATCATGGCAAATGGTGATGGATTCATTCCAAAGCTTCCCATTAAACCATTCATATTACCAAATGGTGATGGCATCATTAATGAATTTCCAAATAACGATTGTTGATGTGGTATTAATGAATTACTATTCATTGGATGATTAGTACTGTTCGGAATACCGAATAGATTTATAGGGAAGCCAAACATCTGAAAAGAAAACTTCCTTTTTTTTAAACAAACATACAACGAAGTCTTATCCGTGTTTTTTTTTTATGTATATATATACATACACAGTAAACATTTATATAGAACACAAACATCATCAGACATATAATACGTGATTATATCACAAAAAGAAGAAAGAAAAAAAAACTAGAAGGAAAAAAAACAATCGAATGGTTCGCACTATTCTACATGACACAGTAAAAATTATATTTTCAGAATAAATGAATCCAAATTAAGTATTTCTTGTTGTAAAATACTTTGAAGAAGAAAATCAATTGATAAAATTTTTATTTGAAAATCAGTATTATTGTATTTATGTAAATCTTTCAATAATAATTTGTCTTTATCACAAGATAGAATTAAACAATTTGGTATTTTAGTTTGTTCATGACATGTTATCAATTGTTTTATTGTTGGAAATTCTCGACGTATTTGCCCACCAGACGAAAAGATAATCGATTTAATTATTATGCTTGATGGTTGTATACTTGGTGTTAAGAAAAACGAATAGCCATCAAATAATGGCAGATTTTGCCGATAAATTCGTTTATCGATTGATTGTTTAAATAAATTTTTTATTGATTTAAATTCTTGATCAATTATCCAATCTGATTCTTCTATGGGTAGAAAACATTTTTCTTCATTACATTTATCTAGCCAATTTTTATTCAATATATATGTTGCATAATTAATACATTCATATAATTTTTCTGTGCGTAAAAATCTATTCATTATTAAATGTGTTGCATCATGTGGTAATGTAGATACTTTACCACCTAAAGATTTAATTATTGTTTCATAATGATTTAATGTTTTCATATTAAAACCACTAAGCATTATTGATATTGATTCATTATTATTTTTTGCTAATTTAATCAATGAATCTATAGGTTCATGATAATGATATGAATTTTTTAAATAGTTATTATCTATATCCATATCTGAAGTACTTGATAATAAATGTTGTTGTTGTTGTTGTTGTTCATTATGGCGGCGTATAGCTGAATTAAGCATTTCGTCGGTTATCCGAATAGATTGTGACCATGGTAAAAGTAAATCATGAACAAAAATTTGATCAAATGAAAAATGATCAATGGGTGGCGTACCATTCAAACGTTTATAACGTTCCTCTAGTGATTGTTTGAGTGCACAGGTATTACCTAGATATAATTCTGATAACCACAAACCATTGACAATAGGTATTGACCATTCGAAGGCTTTTTTAAATTTATTAGTTTTACCATTTTCACGTGCTAATAAATGTGTATGCCATTTACTTAAGTGACCAGAATATTTACCACCCAATGCACGTATCATATATCGAAGACGAGCACGTTCAATTCCTAGAAGAAAATAACAAAGAAATATAGAATAAATAAAAAATAGTAGATTGTGCTTAATGGTTGATTTTTCAATGCTAAATAATGAACAGGATGTTATTATTGATATAATGTTACAATGAAATACTGTGGAGATTTGATCGTTCTTTTCTTATTAGAAAGAAGAAAAAATATATAAACGGAATTCTATTAGAAATGTTTTCTGAAGGTCAAAATACTCTTACAACATCAAAAAATGTCAAGACTTTTCTATAAACTCGGAAGGAACGACTGAATCAATTTATGCTTGCTTGACCTTTTCAATAGTATAACAATGGATATTTCCTAACATCAGATGTCTATGAGTATACGTTACAACGATGAATTTCATTTGATAGTAAACTAATTGCTCGACAGTACAAGAAACAAAACAATGGATGAGTTCGCTGAAAGAAAGTATTGCTGGAGTATCTCACAAGAAAAACTTCGTCTTCTATCCGATAATATTGTTTAGTAGAAAAAAATTTACGAAAATTCACTATACTAAATAATGCTATGATGAAGTTGATGCCGACTATTGTAAAAAATGCAAGGTATGTCTACTTTTTATTCTAAAAATTTGGTGACCGTGAAGGGACATTTTTTCCTACTAAATATTTTGCTCTTTCTAACATGAAAAAAAAACAACGATTAAATCTGTCTAGTAACGATTTAATTAACTGCCAAGGTTTTTTAATATGAGTCATATATGACTATAAATTTAGAATTATTTTCATTAAAGATGATTTAATATCTTTTGAAGATTTTTTAAAAACTTTTGTGGTCTCATGTAATAAAGTTCTGTTGTTATTTTTTTAAATTAATCATTTCTATTATATCATCATTCATGAGATTCTACTGATGAAAAGAGTCATTGAAATTTTGATAACCCTTAGAGTATTTGTTTTACAATATTAAAATTACCTTTTTTGTTTTTTCTTCCTTTCAAGAAAAGCACTTTAAAACAAGCAGATATTTTATTTAGGTAAATATTTGATCTGAATAGTTTATTATTCTCAAGATTAAAGATGTATATCATAATTTGATAAAGTAGTTCTACAATTTCTAAAAAACCTATGTTTTACCTTCAAAACCAGTCATCGTAAAAAAGTATTTTGCTAATGGTAATTTGTCTGGTTCATTCGGTTGAAATGGTGATGGATAATGAATAGCCAAATTAGGAACGAAAAGTTTTTTTCGTTGTAATACATCACTTAACCAATGTGCTGTAACCGTTCGAACATTTCCTCGTTTACAAACGTGTCGAAAACGTTCACTTGTACGATAAGCACATATAAAGTGTGTTAAATTAGCATGATTAATATCATCTGTTATTATAGCACCGTGATCTGTAATTTTTTTTGACCATGCTGATAAATCTTCTTTTGATACAATTGAACTATATTCAGATTCATCAATATAGATAATACAACCGAGTAACCATTGTGACGATGGTACAAGTTCATTTTTATCTTGTAAACAATAATTTAGTTCATATGAAAGTGTTTCTAATGAAGGATGGCGTGTCACAGGCGAATTTGTTTTATTATTTAATAGATTAGCTGATATTGATGGACGAATTAATTTTTCTTCAATCGGTAATGTTGAAATATTACCATCTTTAATTGTTGATGAATGACCATTTTGATTTGTATGTGAACTATTTGTTGCTGTTGAATTAAGTTTTGTATTACGTTGCCGTGGTGCTGTTCGAGTACGAGCTCGTTTTGCCGGATAGGCTTTGACTTGTGATGCATCCTGAGAAATATTTTTTAATGTATATAAAGTTTGCATTGAAAAAAAAAAGTCAATTAGAATGAATATCTTCCCAATATAAATCGCAAGATTAATTTAACTATTTCTATTGTTTTTTTATTCTTTCATGAAATATGTGTAGACAATTTTCTTTCTCTTCGTTTTAACTTAATATACGAAAACTTCTGTTATTTATTTTTGCTTTAATTGTACATATGTATCTATTATCTAAATAAAAATCAGGGTTAACTTCAAAAAGCGATAAAAATTCTTTACAGAAGTCGTCTCATTGAATTAGTTAGATGGGTGTCTAACGTGTCTTGATTCAGTACATTTTACTGTGCAACAAATATTCTCATATTTCATGGAGAACGAATACCTATAAATATCTATATCATACTATAGATAATAACATTTGAATAATCTGGCCTTGATGATAAGTACTTTTTGTGAAGTGTGTGAGTGATGCTGTCTCCTAACTAATATTTACAGAGAATTGTATTTTTATAAGAACAAACGAGAAAAACTTCAAATTAAATTTTTGGATTTCTAAAAAGATTAATTTATTGTCAAAAATAAACTAGTACTTGTCTAAAATCGTAATGCCTTCAGACTATTAACAGATCGGTAATAGATAAATAGATCTGTAGTTTTTTCTCTAAAACATAAAGAAATCAGCTAAAACATGCAGATACTAATTTTAACAGTCAATAGACCTTGCTATAGAATGTATTCTAAAGCAAGGTCTACAGATGAATGAAGTATAACGACAAATTTTCCAAAACAAAAACTCGGATTCAATAACTATTATCGTTTGCAGAGCATCGTTGCACTTTATTTCAACTGTAATTTTAGAAAGTATAAAATATAAATTCATCGAATTTAATTTACATTCATTGCAAACAATGAAAAATGATTTTTTTTACAGATTTCTAACTTAGACAAAGTCGTATGGTATTCTATGGCTGTATTGATTATTGAAAGTATACTCTAAATTCGACTTCGATACTTTATATTATACGGGTAAAAACACAGACTGAAACACCTTATTCATTTAAGTAATATATTTCGCCACTAAATTGAATAGTAATCTATTTATTCCTATGTGATTCATAAAAGAAACTTTAAGAATTCTTACACATGAATCCGGAGGATTACTACCATCATTGATTCCTGATAGGTGTTCTGCTGATGGTGGAGGTGTTGTTTGATCTGATTGATTGAAGAAATTTTTTATTATAAACTGTGATCGATGTACACTAGTAGTTGTTTTTGTTGGTGTGTGTTCATCAATAGATTGATTATGATTATTATTAGTTTGTTCTTCCTCTAATTCTTCTTCATCAACATCCATCGGTTCATTGGGACCTCTCAAAAAATCTGGATGATAATCAACTTCGTCTAATAGACGACTTGCATTTAAACAATCAATAATCCAGTCGGGTGTTATCAAATGATTTTTTTCCGATTGTACGTCGTATGCAGCTTGTAAACGCACATGATTATTTTTAAGATTATCAACTATTCTATCTTCAGGGTTATTCGTTGATAATGCTGATGCGCAAATAATATGTGTACAATTTGAATCATCTATATTTGATGTCCATCGGCCACCATAGTAAGTAACTAATGCATAAATTTTATTATGATCTTCATTTGTTAAATTAGCATTTGCAAATGTACATGAACGAAATAAATGATCACTATTATTACTATCAACACTACGAAATGGATTAATAGGTAATAATGTATTACATTTTAAACATGCTGTTATCCAATCTGAATTGACTATTGGCGTTTGATAGATTTCAATAGCTTGTTCTAATTCACTTTTATTACTGTCAAAATCATCACATATGACATGCGTTGTTGTTTCAGTTAAATAAAATGATAGTATAGCACCATTCTGTTTAAATATGTTTTCAAGTAATGGATCACGAAAACCAGTTGTAAAATATTTAATTGATGAAAATAATTTCGAATCATTTGTCGACATATCTTATAATAAAAACATAAAAAAGGAAGAATTAAATAAAAATAACTTAGAAAATAAAGTAAACCAATGACAATAGTATCATTGTTTATTTTTAGATTTCAATTAAATATATAGGAATACAATTGAATATTAGAACATATAGCAATCAGTCGGCATAAACAGATTTCTCTTGTGTCTACTTTTTCCGAAACAATGGCAGTAATGTCTACGTTCATTTGTTTATTTGTCAGTTATAAATGCTCATGACTCATCGATAGACTTTTTTCCTATTGGTCTAAAAATGATGTATCAAAAAATGGGAGAACGAACGACGATATGAACTGCTATATGCTATACTTTTCCAAGAAAGCAATATATGAAATAAGAATGTTGTTAAGAAACTTTCCAATAAGAAAATTCATTAGACCGTATCTATACTTATAGTTGTAGAAACGAGCAAAACTGTTGTAAACTTAAAACTTCTCGTTTCGTTTACTAATATTTTCATACTGCTCACTGAACACATCTCAACATAACTACGATAATTAAAAACGAATATTGTATGTTTATAAATAGGTAACAATTAATATTGATGAAATCCTTAAAATCTTCACTAAGATCAGCATTTAGTTATCACTTTGTAACTTATTTTTTTTTGACAAATATATGCTTATATATCAATATATTGCTTTATTTCATATAATTCTCATATTCAAATACATAGGATTTGATTATTTGTCTTCAAGAAAATGAAAATTTAATCTTGTCTAATCGTGAGAGCACGCACATGTATTCCATGAAATAAGAATATGAATAAATATATAATTATATGGGTGTGCTTATTTAAAGAAGCCATTTTTGAAGTATTCTAGACTGTTTTCTTTTACAAAGCCATACACCCTTTAATTCATAACATATCATTTATAGATGTCCATAGCAGGTGAAAATCTGCCGCTGCCGCTGCCGCGCCGTACCGCGATGGCTGAAAAAATAATTTGCCGCTGCCGCCCCGCTACCGCGCCACCATGGACATCTATGATATGATTTATGGGTTTTATAATTTTGTTTTTTCTCTTCCTTTTGTCTTAATGTTTTTCATTATTAATTATTTTCTGATTTTTTAATAATTAATTATTTATATTTTTAAGACGTTTCGGAGATATCTTTCTCCTTCTTCAGTTTTATTTTATTTGGTGTTATGTTTGTTTTTACTATTTACAATACGTATCTGACTATTCTNAAATTATAATGACCTTCCTAAGCACATGTAATGATTTATGGATATAGAACCGACTCAATAAAATCTGTATATATTCGAGAAAATCTGTGAAATTCTCAATAGAGACCAATTTAAAAAAGGCTATAAAATAATGAATAAACTGTTTTTGATTGTTTTTGTTCTTTAATCGTCATTTATATTGGAAAAAAAGATTGTTCTTAATTTACATATGACGCAAAGTTGACCGATTAGCATAGTTTACAATTTGTTTTTGATCTTTTATATTCAAATAGACATATCAAGATCTTTTAATCTTGCAAAAGTTGTCCTCCTTTGCCAAGAAGAATTCTAACCTTTTATAGATATTTCTTATTGACAAACGTTCTCGAACATACTACTTCAGATGATCTTGGTACATTCTTCAATGAATGTTCTCTAAAATTTCATATCATCTGTATTT